AATGCAAACCTCTTAAAGTCTGTTCAAATCAGATTCAAAAGCTGAGATCTTGCATTCCTCTAATAATCTTCTAAGTAACCCAATGCAGATTATATTCATATGAAATTCTAGAATAAACAAAACTCAATTGTGTTGGGGAAAATCTGAAGAATGGTTGGCTCTGGAGGGGTGGGAGCAGGGACTGATGGAGGACATGAGATAATTTTCTGGAGTGACAGAAATTATAGTACTGTGGTCTCTGTGTTGATAAGGTTGGGTTACACAGGTATATGTATTTGTCAAAACTCAAGGAATGTATAGGTAAGATTTGTGCATTTCATTATATATAAGTTTTACATTAAAAAAATCCATAAACAAATATTGAACTCAAGTCAATGTTAGGTATGCTTAAATATTTAGGGCAGGGGCGCCTGGGCGGCTCAGTTGGTTGAGCGACTGCCTTCGGCTCAGGTCATGATCCTGGAGTCCCTGGATCGAGTCCCGCATCGGGCTCCCTGCTCGGCAGGGAGTCTGCTTCTCCCTCTGACCCTGCCCCCTCTCATGTGCTTGCTCTCTCATTCTCTCTCTCTCAAATAAATAAATAAAATCTTAAAAAAAAATATTTAGGGCAAAATGTGCTTTGAGATATATATTTTAAAAATAAGGTAGATTAATGGATGAATAGAGATAATAGAGGGACAGATACGTGATAAAGGAAATATAGTAAAATTGCAATGGTAGAATATAGGTGGTGGATGTGTTTTATATTTGAAAATTTTCATCATAAAACATGGGGGAAGAAGAGACTCAATATAAAGATTTGACTATTTATTATCCTTTTGACTCCCCAAACTCCATTTTACTTTCCTCTTCTCCCAACATTAGGTATTTCCACTTGATTATGGAATTCAACTTCAGCCCCTACAAATCATGTTACTTCCCCTTGTTTTTAATAAGAATGGCATCATTCTTCTAGTTGTGAGCATTTCTCCGGATAAAAATCATGTTTCTTTCTCTCCTTTCTTTCATACCCTCTAATCCAGTTAAGCTCTAAATTCTGATTTTCACTTTATGATATCTCACTTCTTTTCCCATTAGCACCACCTTAATTCTGCACCAATTACCCGCCATTTCCATGAAGAAATAGACTGGTATAGCTAAGAAAAATAATTTGCGTGTAATTTGATGCTCTCTCTATTTTTACATGCATGCTATAAGATGGTTCTGAGAATACTGTATTATAATTTACTTTGCTATTATAAGTCTTAAAACTCCGAATTCCAGCCTTGCTTCCTTTTAGTTTGTATGTTAATGACTTAAAACCAGTTTGGGATGATTTAGATGCTTACATCCCTCACCCGTATCACAGAAATCAGAGAAATAAGGATTCTATACTATGATTGGCCTCTATAGACAACTGGTCCTGCTAAATGAACTCTGCTAAAATTGTCAGTTACCATCCTGGCAGATATCTGACACCAATTCTATCATGTTATTCTACAAGTCCATTTTGCAAAAAAATTTATCTTGGAAAATAGTTACCATTAGATACCCTATGGGTATTTTATTAACTTTTATTTTTTTCCCTGATGGCTATACTAGCAGGTCATTGGTAACATCGACCTTAAAATTTTCCTATGTTAAAATAATTGCAGTGAAGATGTTGTAATTTTGGGCTTCAGTTATCTGTGTATTTATCTATATATTGGAATGGAATGGAGTTTTATGAGGAAGAACTTGGCTCTGTCAAAAGCATTCCCACCCTCCCCACAGGCATATGGGATAGCCGTATTTTGGGAGGCTGCATTCTTTTTTTTTTTTTTTTTTTTGGCGCAGTAATTCTTTTTTTTTTTTTCTTAACATATAATGTACTATTTGCTTCAGGGTTACAGGTCTGTGATTCATCAGTCTTACATAATTCACAGCGCTCACCATAGCACATATCCTCCCCAGTGTCCATCACCCAGCCACCCCAACCCTCCCACCCCCTTCCACTCTAGCAACCCTCAGTTTGTTTCCTGAGATTAAGAGTCTCTTATGGTTTGTCTCTCTCTCTCTGGTTTTGTCTTGTTTCATTTTTCCCTCCCTTCCCCTATGATCCTCTGCTTTGTTTCTCAAATCCCACATATCAGTGAGATCATATGATAATTGTCTTTCTCTGATTGACTTATTTCGCTTAGCATAATACCCTCTAGTTCCATCCACATTGTTGCAAATGGCAAGATTTCCCTTTTTTGATGGCTGCCTAACATTCCACTGTATATATATACCACCTCTTCTTTATCCATTCATCTGTTGATGGACATCTAGGCTCTTTCCATAGTTTGGCTATTGTGGACACTGCTGCTATAAACAGTGGGGTGCACATGCCCATTCGGATCACTACATTTGTATCTTTGGGGTAAATACCCAGTAGTGTAATTGCTGGGTCATAGGACAGCTCTATTTTCAACTTTCTGAGGAACCTCATACTGTTTTCCAGAGTGGCTGCACCAGCTTACATTCCCACCAACACTGTAGGAAGGTTCCCCTTTCTCCGCATCCTCACCAAGATCTGTCATTTCCTGACTTGCTAATGTTGGCCATTCTGACTGGTGTGAGGTGGTATCTGATTGAGGTTTTGATTTGGATTTCCCTGATGCCGAGTGATGTTGAACACTTTTTCATGTGTCTGTTAGCCATTTGGATGTCTTCTTTGCAGAAATGTCTGTTCATGTCTTCTGCCCATTTCTTGATTGGATTATTTGTTCTTTGGGTGCTGAGTTTGATAAGTTCTTTATAGATTTTGGATACTAACCCTTTATCTGATATGTCATTTGCAAATATCTTCTCCCATTCTGTCGACGGTCTTTTGGTTTTGTTGATTGTTTCCTTTGCTGCACAAAAGCTTTTTATCCTGATGAAGTCCCAATGGTTCATTTTTTCCTTTGCTTCCCTTGCCTTTGGCGATGTTTCTAGGAAGACATTGCTGAAGCTGAGGTCGAAAAGGTTGCTGCCTGTGTTCTCCTTTAGGATTTTGATGGACTCCTGTCTCACATTTTAGGTCTTTCATCCATTTGGAGTCTATTTTTGTGTGTGGTGTAAGGAAATGGTCCAGTTTCATTCTTCTGCATGTGGCTGTCCAATTTTCCCAACACCATTTGTTGAAGAGACTGTCTTTTTTTCCACTGGACATTCTTTCTTGCTTTGTCAAAGATGAGTTGACCACAGAGTTGAGGGTCCATTTCTGGGCTCTCTATTCTGTTCCATTGATCTATGTGTCTGTTTTTGTGCCAGTACCATACTGTCCTGATGATGATAGCTTTGTAATAGAGCTTGAAGTCCAGAATTGTGATGCCACCAGCTTTGCTTTCCTTTTTCAATATTTCTCTGGCTATTTGGGGTCTTTTTTGGTTCCATACAAATTTTAGGATTATTTGTTCCATTTCTTTGAGAAAAAGTTGATGGTATTTTGACAGGGATTGCATTAAATATGTAGATTGCTCTAGGTAGCATAGACTTTTTCACAATATTTGTTCTTCAAATCCATGAGCATGGAACGTTTTTCCATTTCTTTGTGTCTTCCTCAATTTCTTTCATGAGTATTCTATAGTTTTCTGAATACAGATTCTTTGCCTCTTTGGTTAGATTTATGCCTAGGTATCTTATGGTTTGGGTGCAATTGTATATGGGATAGACTCCTTAATTTCTCTTTCTTCTGTCTTGTTGTTGGTGTATAAAAATGCAACTGACTTCTGTGCATTGATTTTATATCCTGCCACTTTACTGAATTCCTGTATGAATTCTAGCAGTTTTGGGGTGGAGTCTTTTGGGTTTTCCACATAAAGTATCACGTCATCTGCAAAGAGTGAGATTTGACTTCTTCTCTGCCGATTCATATGCCTTTTACTTCTTTTTGTTGTCTGATTGCTGTGGCTAGGACTTCTAGTACTATGTTGAATAGCAGTGGTGATAGTGGACATCCCTACCGTGTTCCTGACCTTGGGGGAAAAGCTCTCAGTTTTTCCCCATTGAGTATAATATTCACTGTGGGTTTTTTATAGATGGCTTTTATGATATTGAGGTATGTACCCTCTATCCCTACACTCTGAAGAGTTTTAATCAAGAAAGTATGCTGTTCTTTGTCAAATGCTTTTTCTGCATCTATTGAGAGGATCATATGGTTCTTGTTCTTCTTTTATTAATGTATTATATCACATTGATTGATTTGCACGTTGAACCAACCTTGCAGCCCAGGAATAAATCCCACTTGGTCGTGGTGGATAATCCTTTTAATGTACTGTTGGATCCTATTGGCTAGTATTTTGGTGAGAATTTTTGCATCCATGTTCATCAGGGATATTGGTCTGTAATTCTCCTTTTTGATGGGGTCTTTGCCTGATTTTGGGACAAGGTAATGCTGGCCTCATAAAATGAGTTTGGAAGTTTTCCTTCCATTTCTATTTTTTGGAACAGTTTCAGAAGAATAGGTATTAATTCTTCTTTAAATGTTTGGTAGAATTCCCCTGGGAAACCATCTGGCCCTGGGTTCTTGTTTGTTGGGAGATTTTTGATGACTGCTTCAATTTCCTTAATGGTTATGGGTGTGTTCATGTTTTCTATTTCTTCCTGGTTCAGTTTTGGTAGTTTATACTTCTCTAGGAATGCATCCATTTCTTCCAGGTTGTCTAATTTGCTGGCATATAGTTGCTCATAATATGTTCTTATAATTGTTTGTATTTCTTTGGTGTTGGTTGTGATCTCTCCTCTTTCATTCATGATTTTATTTATTTGGGTCCTTTCTCTTTTCTTTTTGATAAGTCTGGCCAGGGGTTTATCAATCTTATTCTTTCAAAGAACTAGCTCCGTTTGTTGATCTGTTCTACTGTTCTTTTGGTTTCTATTTCATTGATTTCTGCTCTGATCTTTACTATTTCTCTTCTCCTGCTGGGTTTAGGTTTTATTTGCTGTTCTTTCTCCAGCTCCTTTAGGTGTAGGGTTAGGTTGGGTATTTGAGACCTTTCTTGTTTCTTGAGAAAGGCCTGTATTGCTATATACTTTCCTCTTAGGACCACCTTTGCTGCATCCCAAATATTTTGAACAGTTGTGTTTTCATTTTCATTTGTTTCCATGAATTTTTAAAAATTCTTATTTAATTTCCTGGTTGACCCATTCATTCTTTAGTAGGATGTTCTTTAGCCTCCACGTATTTGAGTTCTTTCCAACTTTCCTCTTGTGATTGAGTTCGAGTTTCAAAGCATTGTGGTCCGAAAATATGCAGGAAATGATCCCAATCTTTTGGTACCAGTTGAGACCTGATTTGTGACCTAGGATGTGATCTATTCTGGAGAATGTTCCATGTGCACTAGAGAAGAACGTGTATTCTGTTGCTTTGGGATGGAATGTTCTGAATATATCTGTGAAGTCCATCTGGTCCAGTGTGTCATTTAAAGCCTTTATTTCCTTGTTAATCTTTTGCTTAGATGATCTGTCCATTTCAGTGAGGGGAGTGTTAAAGTCCCCTACTATTATTGTATTATTGTCAATGTGTTTCTTTGATTTTGTTATTAATTGGCTTATATATTTGGCTGCTCCCATGTTAGGGGCATAAATATTTACAACTGTTAGATCTTCTTGTTGGATAGACCCTTTAAGTATGATGTAATGTCCTTCCTCATCTCTTATTATAGTCTTTGGCTTAAAAATCTAATCTGTCTGATATAAGGATTGCTACCCCAGCTTTCTTTTGCTGTCCATTAGCATGGTAAATGGTTTTCCACCCCACCCCCTACTTTAAATCTGGAGGTGTCTTTGGGTCTAAAATGAGTCTCTTGCAGACAGCATATCAGTGGGGTTTTTTTTTTTTTTTAATCCAATCTGATACCCTGTGTCTTATGATTGGGGCATTTAGCCCATTTACATTCAGGGTAACTATTGAAAGATAAGAATTTAGTACCATTGTATTGCCTGTCAGGTGACTGTTACTGTATATTGTCTCTGTTCCTTTCTGGTTTATGTTACTTTTAGGCTCTCTCTTTGCTTAGAGGACCCCTTTCAATATTTCTTGTAGGGCTGGTTTCGTGTTTGCAAATTCTTTTAGTTTTTGTTTGTCCTGGAAGTTTCTCTCTCCTATTTTCAGTGACAGACTAGCTGGGTTTCATATTTTTCTCGTTTAGTGCCCTGAATATATCATGCCAGTCCTTTCTGGCCTGCCAGGTCTCTGTGGATAGGTCTGCTGCCAACTTAATGTTTCTATTGTTGTAGGTTACAGACCTCTTGTCCCGAGCTGCTTTCAGGATTTTCTCTTTGTCTCTGAGACTTGTAAGTTTTACTATTAGATGTTAGGGTGTTGACCTATTTTTATTGATTTTGAGGGGGATTTTCTGTGCATCCTGGATTTTGATGCCTGTTTCCTTCCCCAAATTAGGGAAGTTGGGAGGCTTCATTCTTAAAAGAGCATGTTGGTCTTGCTCTTCATTTGATTGGCAGAGCACAGAGGCCTTTGGAAGACCTTCAGGTCTTTGAACACTGTGTTATCCAATTCTTTATTTAAAAAAAAAAGCTCATGGAAATTGCTTTAGAAATATACAGGCCATCAGTTCTTCCTCATATTTTAAACTTCATCCTCAGGGGAAGCCAGAGCATTGGGTAGCTATATGCATTATATACTGTACTCTTAACAATAAAATAAGCTAGAGAAAATTTTATTAAGAAAAGCATAAGGAAGAGAAAATACATTTACAGTACTGTACTTATAAAAAAATTCACATGTAAGTGAACCCATGCAGTTCAAACCTGTGTTGTTCAAGGGTCAACTGTATAGGAAAATGACTTAAGTTTATAATTGTATGCACTTACTTTCAGCTACAAATTATTAAGTGCTTGGTCTAGCAGGCATCATGCTAGGTGCTTTCAGTGCATCATTTAAATTTAATCCTCCCAACCATCCCTTGGAGTAAATATTATCTCTATATTCAGTCAGGATACTGAAGCTCGGACAGGTTACGCAGCTTGTAAATGGCAATAATGGGGCTCAAACCCAAGTTTATTTGATTTTTAAATCTGGTGGCCTTACCTACCTCACTAGGTAAGCTACTGGAAAATTTCCCACTGTGTCATACTATACAGGTTTAAGTATCTATATAAATACCTTGAGAAGCCTTTTTATTTTGAACTTTATTCCTGGTTTTATCCTTTCTTGTTACTTTTATCACTTTACTGATTTCCTCAACTATTTACTTTTATACCATTGCAATAATATGTTTTTAATAAATTGCCTAAAATCCTTCTGGATTTATATTCCATTGAGGTGTAAAGAAAAAGAAATGGAAGAAGAAAAAAAAACCTCTGAAATCCTCTAATAATTTTATTTAACGTTGGCTGAGTTTTCTCATATTATTTGCCTTTATTAAAACTTCAGGTTTATGTTCTAGTGTACACACTGCTTAAGTCACGAAATAACTGAGCAAGACCTTCTACTCTAAGTGTCCTCTGGTGCTTCTAGAACACATCTTACCCCAGGCTTGCACAGTCAATGCACTTTTAACCTTGGTATAGATAATCAGATGCTTGAGGAAAGGGAGATCAAAAGTAGTTAATGAATGAAAATTCATAACAGAAGCTATTGTGAAAATTCCATTAGCTTGCTCCCCTTCCTTGACTGGAACAGGGTATGACACAGTTTGCAGCATCCCTGAACTCTACCTACTGGTGCCCTGTAATGGTTCTCTCACAGTCCTTCAGTCTAAAATCCTAAAGGGAGCAGCCTGGATGGCTGAGTTAGTTGGGTGTCTGCCTTCAGCTCAGGTTGTGATCCTGGGGTCCTGGGATCAAGCCCTCCTGCATTGGGCTTCCTGCTCAGTGGGGAGTCTGCTTTTTTTCCCTCTGCCCCTCCCCACCGCTCATGCTGGCTCTTTCTCTCTCTCTCAAATAAATGGATAAAATCTTAAAAAAAAAAAAAAATCCTAAAGGTATTTCTTGTCTACGTTAGAAGGTAGAGGTGATTTCTTAATAGGAGTCACCGTTCCTTGTCATTTTTAGAAGCTCCTTTTTGGTAGCAGGCTGTCTTTTCTAGCCCGCTCAAGGTCCTCTGTGTTCCTGATGACCTGGTAGCAAAGAGCCAAAGAGAACATTATGCCTCCCTGGTTTCAAGTGATTTTCTTGGTAACACTGGGGGCCAACACGGAACACTGACTTTCCCACTTGCTCCCTGGGCTCTAGGTGGTGTTGGGGTGCCAGGTTTTGTGATCTCATCACATTCTTTCACTCTACTGATGTTTTTGTGGTTGAATCTAACTTCTTTTTGTTTTGCTGTGTCTTATCAGGGAACTCATGTTACCCTTGCACCCACCTTTGCCTTTCAGAATTGCTAACAATTTCAGGACTTAATTAGTGGAGATACAGAAACCATTTCCCATTTAAATTCCCAGACAATGATTTGGTGAAATGAGATCTACTAGATTTAGGGTAGAGATGGAGAAGAAAGAGAAACAAATTAGGTATTATTTCATGCTAGTTGGGTATTATGTGAGAATAGTCAATGTTTCACTTCCCTAGTTCCAGATTCAAATCATCAGCGCAGCTCAAGCAGATACAGGAATCAGAGAAATGACATAAATATCCTTTGAAAAAAATTCACTTCAAATTATACACACATTAAAAAAAGACTGGAGCTAAGATTTATTCTTTGATTTTTACATCATATTAGCTCCTTCAATGAAGATGGTTTTCCCTTGTCATAAAAAAAATGCAATTCTCTCTTGTGAATTTCTTCCTCATTCACAAATTCAGAGTCATGATTTATAAGAAAACTAGTGGGCCTGGCACAAAAAGATTTTATATAAAGCTTGTCAGACTATTTGAAAGTGGAAGGATCCTGGGAGGAGAGAAAACTATTAATGAGAAAGTAACAGGCAGGCTAACTTCCTCCCATGCAACATTCCAGTGGCTCTGCAGAAGGTTCTGCCACTTAAGATTTTTTCCCTCAGGTACTTCATATTTAGAAAAGACTTATTACTAAACAAAGTGAATGTATTAAATAATAATTCAGCTTCCGTATTCTTATCAGTAATATGTAAGTGCCAAATTAGAACCTGATCAACACGAGATGACAGTGGTATTCTGGCAAAGACAAATCCAATGATGAAACTTTATAGTGTTAGGTAAATCTAGGATTTTCATAAAATTTTCTTTCCTATTGAATACAGATTCGTGTTAATGTCTCTTTGGGCTCAAGGGACACAGAGAGCACTTGTAAAGAAAGCTAAGGGGGTAAGGAAACCATAAGGAATAGAGAATCTGGGGTAAGGGAGGAGGCTATGGGCCTCCTATCTTTGGCATCCTCACCAAATTATCTACCAGTTTTTCATATTGAATATACTTGTATCTTGAAACTTTCTCAATAAAATCATGCTCCACTGCCTCCCCAATTTTTTTTTTTTAAGATTTTATTTATTTATTTGACAGAGAGAGAGCAAGAGCAGGAACACAAGCAGGGGGAGTGGGAGAGGAAGAAGCAGGCTTCCTGCCGAGCAGGGAGTCCGATGTGGGACTCAATCCCAGGACCCTAGGATCATGACCTGAGCCGAAGGCAGACGCTTAACGACTGAGCCACCCAGGCGCCCTGCCTCCCAAGTTTCAAGTCCAATATGGTCTCTTAGGTTACAACAAATGTTTCTATGATACCAGCGACTTCATTTGTGATTGGTAAATAGGAAAATGAAGTCACATGGAGTTTTTCTGGTTCCTTTGCATGGGGTTCTGGGATGGTAGAAGTCAAATTTTCACCTTTAGCAAAACAGGAGAAAGTTTTCAGTCATTGCAGCTCTATTTTTAGAGAAATCAAGAGCGTCTGCACCTGGGCTCTTCCCCAGAGAGGCATACGCCCCGTCTTGCATGACTCTGGGACCCAGCAGGTTGCACTTCCTCCAGTGCTCAGAGCTCCCCTTCTACCTCCTTTGTTCAGCACTCAGAAGCAAATATTCCCATTTTATTGTTTTTGTGCATTTTTAACATCCCCCGAGGCAGCCTCCACTACGTTTGAATTGCCTATCTGCCTGGCTGTTGAGGTTCTCTCTGGAGGTACAAATTATAGCCTTTATTATCACTTTGGTTACAAAGATGTGCAAGTTCTGAGAGGCTTATCCCTAAGCTTACCTTTACTCTAAGCTCTTATTAATGAACATTTTTGCAGAATGCATCATTTTCCAGGAACATGTGTCTGTGTTAATGTAAAAATCCTGTACTTTATACTTAGTGGATACTTCATAAATGCTGACAGATGACTTATAATTAATTAACTATATCACAGGTTTTTTTTTTTTTTAATATTTTTATTTATTTGGCAGAGACACAGCGAGAGAGGGAACACAAGCAGAGGGAGTGGGAGAGGAAGAAGCAGGCTTCCTGCAGAGCAGGAAGCCTGATGCAGGGCTCGATCCCAGGACCCTGGGATCATGACCTGAGCCGAAGGCAGATGCTTAACGACTGAGCCACCCAGGTGCCCATCACAGGAGCTTTTAAAAAGTGATTCCAAGGAATGATTGTGTTGACAATGAACCACATTATAGGACTTTAGCAAGATCATCCGACTTCTCTTGAATATAAAATCTTCAAGTTATTTTAATTTGCATGCTATATTTACCACTATTGTTTTAGAGAAACAGAAGATAACTTTTCGATTTCAAAGTCTGATGAAAAATCATCCATTAGTTCTTGAAGCTGAATAACAGGAAACTGTACTTGTTTTTCAAACCAACTGGCAACTGTAAGAAGCTGCTGGTCACAAAATGCACGTCCAATAAACTGGAGTCCTATTGGCAAACCTTGGTTTGAGAGGGCTACAGGGACACTCACTGCTGGCAATCCTGAAGACAAGAAAGAAACCCTATTAGCTGATTAATTTTCCATCCTAAGAAGGGGAGACTCATTCTCCTTTCCAGTGCTAGTAGGTACAAGACAGATAAGGTTTAAAAAATGACAAAAAACATATGATATGCTGTACCTTCCTTTGCTCACTTAACAATATATCTTGGAAATCACTGTGTATCAACTCAGAGACTTTCTTCATTCCTTTTTTATAGCTGCATAGCACTCCATTATGTGGTTTGTACCATAATTTGTTCACCCATTCTTCTATGGTTGGGCTTTGGGCATTTAGGTAGTTTTCAGTATTGAGCTATTTCACACCATGCTTGGGTGAATTACCTTGTGTACATGTTTTTTGGTTGTTTTTTTTTTTAAATATTTATTTATTTATTTGAGAGAGAGAGAGCAGGGGGAGGGGAAGAGGGAGAGAATCTCAAGCAGACTCCCCACTGAGCGTGGAGCCCGATGATGCAGGGCTCGATCACACCACCCATGAGATCATGACCTGAGCCAAAATCAGGAGTCGGATGCTTAACCGACTGAGCCACCCAGGTGCCCCATGTTTTTTGGTATTTTTGAAAGTCTCTCAGATGAATAGAGATTGCTTCATCAAAAGATAAATGCATATGTAACCAGATATTGCCAAATTCCTCTCCAAAAAAGTTGTACTATTTTGAACTCCTATCAGCAAAATGCTTTTTCACTACAGCATTACCATCTGAATATGTTGTTGAGCTTTTGAATGTTTGCCAATTTGATAGATAAGAAATAGTAACTCAGTTTTAATTCCAGGTTTGGGGCAAAGAAAGCACAAGTTCCTGGGATATCTTGTTATGCCTTAAAGTAAGTTTGTTTTTAGAAATTAATGGGGATAGGTCTAAAGATTACATGTAACTTGAAAGGGCTCTTGTTGGCCAATTTGAGCATCAAAACCAATAATGACAGTAATTGTTTATAATACACTGAGTTTTTAAAAAAGCAAAGCTGTCTTTAGAGAAGACTGCTAGCTAATATATGTAGAAAGAATGACAGAAAAATCAGCATTTTGTAATTCTCCAGGAAATAATTCAGGCAAGGATCATCAAGAGATCTAAAACTGGGTTCAAGAATTTTGGGGAATAGGATATTCACACAATCTCAAAGTATCACCTCACCAATTGGTTATAATTGATAAAAGGAAAAATATACCTTTACATGGAAAACACCTGGCACTTACTTCCTTAACTAAGAAATCAACTTAGTCTCCGAAAGTGGAACAAACTGACATTAACTGTTTCCTGACATGAAGACCATGTAGTATTTCTGCCAAAATGTTTGACTCAACCCAGTCATGAGGAAGCAATCTAACAAACCCAGATTATGGATGGGACATCCTATAGGGCAAGTACACTAGGCTCTTCAAAAAAGTCAACGTCAATTAAAAAAAAAATTTTAAAAGGTGGGGGATTTCTAATCAGAAACTATGCAGGCCAGAAGAAGTGGCATAACATTTTTTAAGTGCTAGAGAAAAGAAATGGCAAGCACAGATCCTGTATCCAGTGAACATAACCTTTAAACATGAAAGGAAATCAAGCATTCTTAGAAAGAAAGTTAAGAGGGGGCGCCTGGGTGGCTCAGTTGGTTAAGCGACTGCCTTCGGCTCAGGTCACGATCCTGGAGTCCCTGAATCGAGTCCCGCATCGGGCTCCCTGCTCAGCAGGGAGTCTGCTTCTCCCTCTGACCCTACCCCTCTCAAGCTCTCTCTTTCATTCTCTCTCTCAAATAAATAAATAAAATCTTTAAAAAAAAAGAAAGAAAGTAAGTTAAGAGAACTAGTTAACAGCTGACCTACCCTAAAAGAATGGCTGAAGGAATTTAAACAGAAAGGATATGATAAAACAAAGAATCTTCATATACCAGGAAGGAATGAACATAGTAAACAAAAGTACAGGGAAATACAATAGGCTTTCCTTCTCCTCTTGAGTTTTCTACATTTAGTTTGATGATTGAAACACGGATTATAAACAGTCTGATGTGTTCCAAGAAAAAAACAAACAAACAAAAACCAGAAATCCAAAGCAGAAAACTGAGGTATTGTTCTAAATTTTAAAAAGATCGTAAACAAATGTAATATATCTATGAGGGGAAAACAATTTTATAAAAGACATTTTTGGTAAAATTGAGAAAATTTAAGTATGGACTATATTTGGAATATTATTATATTCATGTTAGTCTTCCTAGGTGTGATAACAGAATTGTGGTTATGCGGGAGAATGTCATCATTTTTAGAAGATTTATGCTAAAGTATTTAGGGGTGAAGTATCACGACATTGAAACTTTCAAATTATTCAGCTAAAAAAAAAGTGTGTGTGTGTGTGTGTGTGTGTGTGTGTGTGTGTACAGAGAGAAAGAGAGAAAGGAGAAAGCAGATTAGGCAAAATGAATGAATCCAGGCAAATGCATATCGGTATTCATTATACCATTCTTTCAACTTTTCTGTAGGTTTGAAAATTTCCAAAATAAAAGTTAAAATTACGCTATTAGTAGAATGACTCTGAGTATGCATGTGCATGGTGACTGCAAGGGCACGCAGGCCTAAGCATTTGCACATACCACACACGCACACACGTACACACATTCCTAAGCATTCCAGAAGGACAAGCTGTTGCCTTCAGGGAACAATCTAGCTGGAACCTAAGTTGAAGACCAGGGTGCCTGTCTAAATATTTGAAGAAATCCAGAACATTCCCAAGGGATCCTTACCTGCCATATTTACAGCCTGTGTAAAAATATCATCCTGGGCGCTTCGTGTCCTGTTGTCTTCTTTAATGAACTCCAGGTATGGTACCGCCTCACTCAAGGTGGTGGGAGTCAGCAAGACATCCACTCCGGAGTTAAAAACATTCACAAAATCATTAGCAATGAGTCGTCTCACTTTCTGTGCCTTAATGAAATAATTCTCATAGTTTCTGTGGAAAAATAGGGGATATTTTAAGGATTTTTTAATTTCTTTGAATCAATTTTCACACATAAGGCTTGTGAAAGAATGACTGGATTCTTGACCTTTATAAGCAGGCACCACTAAGATTCCTAACAACACATATAAATGATTTTTGTTCAACTGTGCTGTTATTTCTAAAAATTTGTGTATCAGGAGTTTAATCAGAATTCACTGCTAGATACAATTCTACACATGTAATCACAAAATAGTGATATCATTAAATAAGTGGATATCATCCATATTCAGGGATATCATTAAACCAGAACATTTATTTTCAGGTGAAAAAAAATCAAGTGCATAGCAATTAAATGACTTTCCAAAGGTTACAAAGACGGGCAGTGGTAAAGGAAAGACTAGAACTTAGGTCTTTGGAGGCTTATTCTAATCCTTCTTCTATTATAATGTCTTACTTAATATAATGTAATATAATGATATAATATAATCATATAATGTAATATATGATAATATAATGTAATATAATGATAACTCATTATTGTAAGGATTCTGAAGTTTTGCAGAATTCTAATATGCCATAATAATTAGACACTAGGAAACAGGCTCTGGAAACAGAAACTGGAGAAAGTATACGGTGTTTGCAATTTTGTATTTTATGGATAGGCATACCCCAAGAATGGAAATGTGAAATTCAAGGAAAGAGGCTCACTTTACTGAAGAGATTAAGGAACTAGCCACTTATAAAAGTGATTACAAGTCAATGATGCAAAGAAAGGGAAAAAGAAGGCACTCTTTAGATCCTTCTGAAGTGGATACAAAGGCTGGCAAACATGTTTTAAACTTCAGTTTCCTCACCTGTAAAAATGGATATAACTACTACAGTCTTACTGAGGACCAAATATAATAAAGATAAAAATGTGCCATCTTTTTTACTCTAAAAGCATCCTATAGAAATATCAAATGTCTTTACTATCGTTTGACCACAGGGTCGACAGAGAGAGAAATGCAGGTATCACCTATAATTTATACCACAATAACAGTTGATGGCTTAAATAATGTCATTAACAGCATTTTCCAAACCTCAATTTTATTCAAACACAAGCAAAAATTTGTTTTCTATTAAATTTCTTCCTACTTTAAATATGGTTCAAAAACAGAACTTTTGCTTCCATTAATGACAGAGGGATGGAATTTACCCTGCCATAGTAAATAGTAACATACCCTAGTATTTACCCATAGTAATTTTCCCCGCTTTATTTTGCCCAGAAAGCTAGGCAAAATAAAGCAACCATTTTCAGATATTACAACAGGCATTCAAGAGAGAGAGTTCTGAGAGAAGGAAAGGAAATAAGTGAGCCCTTTCATTTCCCCAGCGTAATGCCTGGAGGCAGTTTCCAGGCCTCAGCCCAGACAGGAGGAACCTAAACAGAATTTTCAGGAAGTTAGACAAGGGGACTGGAAGTGCAGGGAGGCAAAGACAACTGGAATTTGCTCGCCAGGTACCGGAGAGGAGAAAATAGCACACAGAGCTCAAGAGATCTGCAGTGATCCCTCAGGTCTTTGGCTGAGTACTGACGAGTGCACGTAGGGAGAAGACATTCTCAAGGCTGGGGAAAGAATCACTGAAAAGTCAAAAAACTGCAAGAGCTGATACAGGGCTAGAAAGTGTGTGTTCCTAATGGCCAAAGCGGGAAAGTCTTCATAATACGTGAGGCATCCGGCAAAATTCTTCAAGGGTATTGCCTAAAAAAATAATTGCCTAAAAAGCAAAGCTTTTTAAAAAGGAAGACTTGAGGGGCGCCTGGGTGGCTCAGTCGGGATCAAGCCCCACATCCGGCTCCTTGCTCAGCGGGGAGCCTGCTTCTCCTTCTGCTTGTGCGCGCTCTCTTTGTCAAATAAATAAAATCTTAAAAAAATAAAATAAAAAGGAAGCCTTGAAAGGATCCAACAGATTCTAAGTAACTTAACTGCATCCCAGAACAAAGCCCAGCACCGTTTAAAGGAATACAACAAAAATGCAGCTAATGACAATGTAAAAGTTGCCACGCCCAGCCATGCAAAAAAGCAGAAAATATAACCTATAACTAGGGGGTAAAAAGCAATCAATATAAAGAGATCCAGAAACAAGAGAAATTAGCAGAATTAGCAGAGAAGAACATTAAAACATGTATTTACTCCTATAAATATGTTCCATATGTTCAAGAAAGTAGAAGAAAACATGGTATCATGAAGAAATTGAAGAGATAAGAAGACCTACTTGGAAGTTCTAGGAATGAAAAATACAAAATAGGAAATAAAAATGAGACTGGATGCGATTGACAGCAGGTGACACAGCAGATCAGTGATTCTGAAGATAGTAACAGAAACTATCCAAAAGGAAGCGCAGAGAGAAGGACTAAAAAAGGAAAAAAACAAAAAAACAGGATGGAGCCATCAGTGCGCTGTGGGACAACATCAAGCAGATTAATGTACATATGAATGGAGTCCCAGAAGTGGGAGGTCAGAAAAAATATTTTAAGAAACAGTGGCCAAAACTTTTCCAAATTTGATTAAAATGGGCGTGGCAACTTTTACATTGTCATTTGCTGCATTTTTGTTGTATTCCTTTAAACGGTACTGGGCTTTGTTCTGGGATGTAGTTAAGTTACTTAGAATCTGTTGGATCCTTACAAAGCTTCCTTTTTAAAAAGCTTTGCAAGGATGTGTCTAAAATGGCCTTTCGTCTAGGCTAATTTAACTCTACTTTAGGCAATATGATTAAAATGATAAACCCACAGATACAAGAAGCTCAACAAACCCCTAAGCAAGAAGAAATATGCAGAAAACCACACCAAGACACATCACAGTCAAATTCCTGAAAACCAATGATAAAGTCTTAATATCAGCTGGGGGGGCGGGGAAGACATGTTATACACAGAGGAACAAAGACAAGAATGACAATAGACTTCTCAGAAACTATGCAAGTCAGGAGGCAACAGAACAAGATCTTTAAGGTATTGAAAGAAAAACCATCAATCTAGAATTTGATACCCAGAGAAAATATCAAAATTAAAGGTAAAATAAAGACTTTTACATATAAACAAAAGCTGAAAGAATTCATTGCCAGCAGGATTGTACTACAAGAAATATTAAAGTTCTTTAGGGAGAAAGAAAATTACACCAGATGGATATTTGGATCTATACAAAGGAATAAAAAGCACCAGAAATAGCAAATATCTGGACATATATAAATGACTTTTTTTCTTGTTTTAAATCTCCTTAAGAGAAAAGTTATTTAAAGAAAAAATAAAAGGCGGCAGGAAAAGAGGTTAAAAGAAAGAACAGATAGGACAAATTGAAGACAAACAGTAAAAATCAGATTTAAATGTGGCTCAAATGTAAGTTAATTATGTTCATTAAACTGTGGATTCCTAATTCAATTAATTTGTGTTTTTTGAACAAAAGGTAGTAGAAGAATGACAAAATTGTAACTGAGGTACCACATGAAGAAAAAAAAAATGTTAGGAGTTGTTATAGTTACTGGCACATAAATTGACTTTGTAAGACTAAAAAAAAAGTATACCCAAATTCCATTTTTCCTATCACTCATGTCTATCCTCCCCTCACAAAACAAATGAAAGCAAAAAAAACCCCTCAAAACAAAAAAGCTGACTTAAGTTCTCCGACTCAGAGATAGGGAGGCCAGCAGAAATTCTCACTTCCTTTTGTCAATACCTCCAACCGGTGACCATGGAGAAGCTTTCAGACTCCTCTCCTTCAGTTTCTTTATATGCTGTTACAGTGACCTAGATAGTCTATCAACTTGTGCCCTGAGATACACAATTTGATTCTGATCAGTTATATTTGGCAAATGTAACATTTTCCACTTAATGAAAGTCTTTGCTTAGAAAACCTCTCAGCAACATTTCATTTTCTTTTCCTACTCCAAAATCATTACAATCATCGGTCAAAATAGAAGAGTCTTTTATTTTTTTAAAGTTTTTATTTTAATTCCAGTTAATTACCATACAGTGTACAATATAGTGATTCAACAATTCCATACATCACCCGGTGCTCAGGTGCTCATCATAAGTGCACTCCTTAATCCCCATCACCTATTTAACCCATCCCCCCAACTACCTCCCCTCTGGTAACTATCAGTTTGTTCTCTATAGTTAAGAGCCTGTTTCTTGGTTTGCCTCTCTCTTCCCCCTGCCCCACCCCTTGCTCATTTGTTTTGTTTCTTAAATTCCACATGAGTGAAATCATATGGTATTTGTCTTTCTCTGACTGACTGCTTTCACACAGCATAATACTCTCTAGCTCCATTCATGTCATTGCAAATGGCAAGATTTCATTCTTTTTTATGGCTGAATAATATTCCACTGTATATATATACCACATCTCCCTTATCCATTCATCAATTGATGGACCCTTGAGCTCCTTCCATATCTTGGCTACTGTAAATAATGCTGCTACAAATACAGGGATGCATGTATCCTTTTGAATTAGTGTTTTTGTATTCTTTAGGTAAATACCCAGTAGTGTGACTGCTGGATAGTCCTATTTTTTTTAAGATTTTATTTATTTATTTGACAGAGAGAGACACAGCGAGAGAGGGAACACAAGCAGGGGGAGTGGGAGAGGGAGAAGCAGGCTTCCCGCCGAGCAGGGAGCCCGATACGGGGCTTGATCCCAGGACCCTGGGATCATAAACTAAGCTGAAGGCAGACACTTAACTGAGCCACCCAGGCGCCCCTGGATAGCGTTATTTTTAACTTTTTGAGGAACCTCCATACTGTTTTCCACGGTGGCTGCACCAATTTGCATTCCCACCAACAGTGCAGGAGGGTTTCTTTTTGTCCACATCCTCACCAACACCTGTTGTTTCTTGTGTTTTTGATTTTAGCAATTCTCACAGATGTGAGGTAATATCACAGTTTTGATTTGCAGGAAAAGAGTCTTTTAATATGGAACATAATCAAATATTTTTAGGCTTTTTGTTTTCAAGCTTTACCAAAATACAATTGACATATAAAATTGTGTAATTTTAAGGTGTACAATATAATTGGATAATGTATATATTGTGAGATGATTACCACAATAGGGTTGATTAACACATCTGTCACCTTATATAATTACAATTTTGTGTGTGTGTGGTGAGAACATTTAAGATGTACTCTCTTAGCCATTTTCAAGTATATAACACAGTACAGTTAATTATAGTAACTATGCTGTATATTATATCCCCTGAACTTATTCATCTTTTTTTTAAAGATTTTATTTATTTATTTGAGAGAGGGAGAGAGACAACATGAGTGGGGTGAGGGGCAGAGGGAGAAGCAGGCTCCGTGCGGCTTAATCCCAGGACTCTGAGATCATGACCTGAGCTGAAGGCAGATGCTTAACCGACTGAGCCACCCAGGCACCCCCAGAACTTATTCATCTTATCACTACAAGTTTGTATCCTTTGACCAATATCTCCCTATTTCCCCTAGCCCACAGACTCAGGCAACCACCATTGGATACTTAGGTTGTTTTCATGTCTTAGCTATTGTGAATAATGCTCTGAGATAATGATTTCATTTCCTGTGGATATATACTCAGAAGTAGGATTGCTGGATCATATATGGTAGTTCTATTTTTAATTTTTTGAGGAGCCTCCATGCTGTTTTTCATCATGGTTGTTCAAATAATATTTTTGGAAAAAGTAATCCTAAATATCTGCCCTGAAGGGATACACAGATGAACAAAATGTTTTCTGTTCTTGAGGGAATGTAGAAAAACTCCAGGAGTTTTTCATTACAACAATCATTCTTGCCTTTTCACACTTCTCATGTCCTCTTAGACAGACTTGGTGGTATGCAAGATGAATCCTATTCGCAAGATGAATAAATTTATATTGAAGACAAGCTAAGTAGGAGCCCTAGTAATTTAGAATTCTTTCTTGGAGCAAACAGATACATAATGTAGGGGAAGACTAAGTTAATTTGCTAAATTTTTCAAGATACACCAATGTAACTTCCTGCTTAAGTCTCTAACAACAATAAGCCAATGTGGCAAAAATAGGGGACATTTAATGAGGTTAAAATTCTTCAGGGCTTCCTACTTAGTTTTGTACTAATCATTTAGCTAGAGTGTGAATGTTTTTTTGCATTTGAATAACCAGAAACTAGAAGTACTATAAACAGGCTTTTAATTATAAGTTCTAATTCAAATCATAAGGATTTTGCTTCTTTAGCAAATATCTCAACTTGTAAGACCTGGTAGACATGCTACTAATGTACTCTTGAGTGTTCAAGAATGGAGAAAATTCCTAATTACTTACTCTTTTATTTTTTTTATTTATTTTTTTAAGATTGCTTTATTTACTTAAGAGAGAGCGAGAGCACAAGCAGGGGCAGAGGGAGAGGGAGAAGACTCTCCACTGAGCAGGAAGCCCGATGCAGGGCTCCATCCCAGGACCCCGGGATCATGATCTGAGCCGAAGGCAGACGCTTAACCGACTGAGCCACCCAGGCACCCCATTACTTACTCTTTTAATAAGAAAAAATTTCCTGAGAGAATTCTTCCTCTCACCACATCATTAAACCCTTCCCGCCTGGTTGCAGCATACATGGCTTCAGTAGACACGTTGATGTCACATCTGTGACCTAAAAACAAAAAATTTGAAAAGGAAATAAAGTTTTGACTTTTGAAAAGCAAGTGTAGATTCACATTTCTGACCAATACTAAAATTTTGGGAGACTGTCCTTAAGTGGCTCCTCTTCTTTATCTGCCAAGAATCAAGGAGAGAGGAGAAAATAACCAATAGGGAAACTTCATTTTGTTCACCTCCTCATCTATCCATCCATCCCTCCAACCATTCATCCATCCATCCCTCCCTCCCACCCTCCTCCCTCCATCCATCCAAGTATCTACTGAACTCCTACCATGTGCCAGGCACCACATTTGACAGACTGAGAATACGAAGACACTATTCCTGTAAAATATTCACAGTTCAGAGAGGGGGGCCGAACATACAGAGAGATTTATGATGAACAGTGTAAGCAGAAGGCTAAATGACAAAGGTAAGAGGATTCACTGGTTTACTTGTCTAAATCATTAACATTAACTCCGGGGATAATTTTTTTTATCACGAATAAGTAAAACTTCCAAATGTTGGAGACAACTACCTTAAAAATCCCAAACACAGCCGTCTTACCATATTCTAGCCCATCAAATCTTGCCATATTTGATGCCACTTCCGATGTACACAATACATGGTAGCAGATAATTGAGTAACTGGTGTGAGGCAAGGACACTTCGATTACTTTGGCCCCCTCAGACTCAAAGAGATTAGCAGCTTTGGACCAAAAAGATCTCACTTCACTTGATAATTCTGGTGCGAGATATTCCTTATTGGAAAAAGCCAAGATACAGAAATTAAAACATCTGTATGGATGGTTTTATAAAAATATGTACTTTAGGACCTTTGGCAATACATTAGAAAATCTGATTAAATTGCTAGTAGGTAGCTAGAAAAATTGAACTAATTTTAGAGTGTTGATGGCATGACAAGCACTGTACTAATTATTTATAAGCTGGAGATAACAATATTAAAGATGAGAGAAATGGCCAGAGAACCCATATTTGTTAAATGTTCATTATCAGATACTCTGCTAGATGCTTTTCAAAGGTCCTCTCACTTAATGCTTTTGCAGAAACTTTTAGATAAGGAGTCTCAGACTGAACATTTTTTTTTTCAAGTGGGCTCCACACTGGAGCCCAACATGGGGCTTGAACTCAAGATCAAGACCTGGGCTGAGATCAAGAGTTAGATGCTTAACCAACTGAGCCACCCAGGTGCCCCCTCACTTAATGCTTTTAACAATCCCATGATGTAGGTATTATCATCCTTCATTTTATTAATGAAAAATACTGAGACTGGACAAGTTAAGTAACTTTCCTAAAGTTACACAGCAGGTAAGTAGAGGATCTAGGATTCTAAACTGGTCTCTTTCTACAACCTATGCTTTCTCTAAATCCTTAAAGGAAGGCACAGCTATTATCTTAACTGAAAATTATAAAGAAAGTATCTCTCTACAGTGGTGGTCTCACATGGGGGCAATTTTATCCTCTTTCTCTCAACCATGTCTGCAGACATTTTTTGTTTGTGGGGTTGTGCTGTGGTGGGGGTGCTACTTCTGAGGGTAAAGGCCAGTGATGCTGCTAAATGTCTTACAATGCATAGGACAGTGTCCCACAACAAAAAATTACTGCTAAGTTTAAAATTTAAAAAGCTTTTTAAAGGTCAGTAATTTAACATATTTACTTTCACATATGAATTACTCAGTTGCTACTGTAATAACAGTAGTAGTAATACTAATAATGGTAGTAAAGACGGTAACATGTATTAAGCCTTTACTATGCAAGGTATGGCTCTGGGCTATGTTGCTTACATACGGGATTAGCAGATTATGGCCTACCAGCCAGATATAACTTGCCAGTTATTTTTGGAAATAAAGTTTTACTAGAGCACAGCCACACTCTTTCATTTACATATGGTCCCTGGCTGCTTTCAAACGACAGCGGCAGAGTTAAATAGTGACAATAAAGACTGAATGGCCCACAAAGCCTAAAATATTTACCAACTGACCCTTTACAGAAAATGTTTACAGACTCCTGCTTAACATGATTAATTTTTTTTATTGAGGTATAACTGACATACAACACTATGATAGTTTCAACATATGATGCAATATTTGTATACATTAAGAAATGATCACCACAACAAGTCTAAGTTAATATCCATCACCATACACAGTGACAAGAGTTTTTTTTCCCTCGTGATAAGAACTTTAAGATCTACTCTCTTAGTAACTTTCAAATATGCAATACAGTATTATTAACTACAGTCACCGTGTTGTATATTATATCCCCATGATGATTGCCAAATTTAAACCTTACTACTCTCTGAGATCGACACTGTTATTATCTCCATTTTGTAGACTGGGAAATTGAGCTTAGAATAAGTCATGTGCTCAGGTTGCACAGCTAATAGAAGTGGCAGAGCAGGATTCAAACCCAACCAGTCTGTTTCCCAAGTCTGTTGCTCTGTGGTTGACTTGAAAGTATTTCTGTAAAGTAATAAAAGGGAAGAGTTACCTTTGGAATTCCTATACATAGTTTGTTCACATCTGCCAAAGTGGGAAGTGTAAATGGTTTAACAGAATCTTGTATTGTGGTAGAATCTTTGGGGTCATGCCCAGCCAGCATACCTGTAAAGAAAAATACTTAGGAATGACAGACATATTGTTTTACAGTGAAACTTACAATGTTTTGAAACTCTATGGAATCATATAAATACCTAACACAATTGCTGCATCATCCACACATCTGGTTAAGATTCCTGGTACATCCATTGAATTCACCAGGGGAATGAGGCCATGACGAGAAACTAAGCCATAGCTTGGTTTGAAACCAACAACCCCACAGTGGGCAGCTGGATTTCTGGTCGATCCTCCTGTATCTGATCCTAAAGCCCTGGAATTTAAACGGAATTTTCTTTAGAAGAATGACATATCTCCCATTATATCTGGAATCTATTTTTAAGTGTATACTTTTAAATTTTATTTCCCCCGGTTATACAAAAGTAAGACATGCTTGTCTCAGAGAACTCCTAAAATATAGAAAAAGTGTAAAGAGGTAACAAAATATTCTACGGCTGAGGCAAACACTATTAACATTTTGGCATATTAACTTCAAGACTTTTTTAAAATGCAGTTTTCTTTCATGGCTCAGGTCATTCTGTAATTATAACTTTCCATCTCTTTTTTTCTTATCATGAGCCTTTTGCTAACTCATTAAAATCACTGAAAATTTAAAATATGTATAGTATTCCGTCATATCAATTGTGATTCCCAGGATTTTAAAGCCCATTCTCCTATCAGTATACATACAGATACCTTATACCTTCCTTTAATGGCAGTTTTACAGTATGCTTTTATAAACTAAACACACTTCTCCCAGAAATTCATACACAGAACTTTCTGCTACCTCACTTAGAATCATGGATAGAAATGTACTTTATTTAAACATTTATGTTGTTGCCAAGAAGGATAATAACTACATAATAAATTACTTTGTAATAAACACCTGTAAACATAAATCTTTGCCCATATGCCTGATTATTTTTTAGGCTGGCTTCCAAGAAGTAGAGTTAATGAGCCATAGGGTCTGCCTGTTATTCTAAGTTCTTAATCTGTATTGTCAAATGACTTGTCAGAGAGGCTCTGCCAATTTATATTTCCAACTGCAGTGAATCAGATTTGGCCTTATGTTTTATTATCATCACCGAGTACTAGCAGTTCTTAAAAGTTGGTTATCTGAATAACCAAAAAGCTTTGTTAATGTGCATTTTTGAATACTTTTTCACATTTATTTGTATTTGCATTACCCAACTATGAACTGCTCATTTCTTTGCTCAGTTACCTATAGAGTATATGTTTTTCTTATTAAAAACAAAACCAAAAACTAATCTTGAGGACATTTTGTTAAGTGAAATAGGTCAGTTATAAAAGCACAAATACTAAATAATTTTCACTCTAGGTACCTAGAGTCTTCAAGTTCATAGAGACAGAAAGTAAAAGAGTGACTGCCAGGGGTTGGGGGGACAGGCAAATGGGAAGCTGTTGTTTAAAGGGTACCAAGTTTCAGTTCCGCAAATGAACCAAGTCTGGAGATTGGTTGCACAACAATGTGAATGTATTTAACACTGAACTGTACACTTAAAAATGGTTAAGATGGTAAATTTTAGGTTATGTACATTTTACCATAATTAAAACTTTTTTTAAACTTTATTTCAGAGAAAAAAGGTTTTTCTGATTAGAAAAGTATATGTGCCAACTACAAAATTTAAAATATTGTGTAAGTATATAGTGTATAAAGTGAAATTTCTCTTATAATCACTGCCTCCCTAACAATCCCATTATCAGTTTTGATATACTCGTCCAGACACTTCCATGCAACTAACATATATATGTATGTAATTATTACTTTTAACAGAAAGGTCATACTGTATGTAGTATTCTGCAACTTATTTTCCACGTAACAGTGTATCTTTGATATCTTTCCGACACTACAAAGCACTCTTGCTCATTCCTTTTAGTGGGTAAACAACCTTCCTGTTTTTAAAACTATTATAAAAGAAGCAAATCAAAAGGGGGGTGGGGAAACAAAGCAGAACACCTGATAATTTGGGACCCATTCAATCTGAAGTTACTTTGGGTCTGTGCCTCTCTTGACTATACCCAGAATAAAGCTTTGGACTGAACAAGGCTCCTACCAGTCACATGGCCCTTGAGCTCTACAGAAAATGCAAATTAGATTGTCTTTCTTACCAAGTCCACGTAAGCTACGAAATCAGGCTGTTGCTTTCACAATTTCTAAAAGGACACATTTTCTTATTAGGATTCACTGACGGCTGTATAGAAGTAAAACCTACATTTCCATAGGAATTATGTGTCAAAATGCCATATCTTCTCTGAGCACATTCAGAAAGATGAACATTAAGTAGCATGATGAGAGGAGAAAAAAGCACCTAATCTTGCAGTCCTAACTTGTCAGAACTCTCATTAATATTAATGCAATGCTACAAAATTCCACAGAGAGAAAATGAAATGGTTTTACTTGTAAATAAGATTTCAGAGAAACTAAAAAAAAAAAAACAAAAAAAACCCCTCAAGAATCTAAATCTCAAAATATAAATAATTTATTGGTTTCAATGTCTGCGACAGAGCTTAGTTTCAGTGGGTAATTAAGGAGAAATGAAATACATACAGTACTACTAAAGAAACACACTCAATTTTATACTGAAACTGAGAATGTAAATAACAGTGGTATTTATTTACTCTTCTTTAGGTGGTTAAGAAATGCTTTACAAATGGGACTTAAAACATAAAGCATGATGGATGGATTCTTCCCAAATACAAAAATAGGACAGTTGAACAAATTAGCTCCTAACAAACATGAAGAAAAGTTTACTCCATGATACACATTTTTAGTTGCAGATTTATGAAAACACTATTTTAAATATCCTACTGATACATATCAGGAACATTTTTTTCTCCCCCCCCCTTTTTTTTTAGACAAGCCTGATTTAGCTGAAGGATAAACCATAATTAATAGCTCAGCAGCATTCAACTAAAGCCATGGTATCTTAGTCCCTAAATATTTGTACCATCGGTGAACAGAAACCCAAATAAATTATTTTAAAAATGAAATTCAATTATGCTAACTGGTTTATTCTGCAAGATCCATAAAATCATGTTTTTTAAGAAAACCAGTTACTAGAGAGGAAGAGTTTAAATATTATCTTCAATTAAAGTTAAATGTATAAAATACACATTACATATACTGTACAGCTGAGCATATTTATAAGATACAATTTTTATATACCATCAAGCACAAATAACTCACTGAAAAGAAATAAAAACAGCATGTATGAACTACTCTACTGTTGGATTCTGAGGATGGTTTATGACTCTTTGTATTTGGTCGGGCTTCACATTACAACAGAAGAAAGCACCTTACGCAAAGCATGTGAACGCTGCTACCGCCGCCGCACTCCCTCCTGAGCTTCCTCCAGTTATAAGCCAATTTGAATCCTCATTCTCACCATGGGCCTTCTGCTTCCTCTTTCCTCTATATTGTTTTGAGTAACTCCAGGGGTTTTTAACTGGTCCAAATACACCATCTGTGCTTCCAGATCTGAGATGAAGTGAAGCAAGATATCTTTAACGAAACTTTCACTTTATATGAGAATTTCACTTCCTGATTATATTATTTGCTCCTAACACTGTATAATCCACTGGAACTTGAAGTGGAAAAGGCAAGAAGCCTGCTTAGATGTAGTCTTCATTAATTAGATGGTTGAGGAGGTGGAGGATGGGAAGTAAGAGCATGTGGGAGAAAGTAGAGAAAACTAGTCTGTTAAGGAAAGAGGATTTTTACCCCAGTTGATCATCCAATTCAGCTTATGATGATTTCCCTTGTAAATCAAGGTCTTGCAGTTGAAGAGTGTCATAAACACTCAAAGAGTTAACAAGAAGTCCTCTGAAGGATTCCCTCTATTAACCAGATGTTTTAAGACAAGCGTAAGTTAAATAATAACTTATTTTAAACGTTTTGAATTAATTTCAATCTTACAGGTAAGTTGCAAAAATCAAATATGAAAAGGACTTTATACCCTTTACCCAGATTCACCTATTATTAACAAATCACCCAATTTGTTTTACCATTTGTGTGCTTTATGTGTGTCTGTAACATATACAAATACTTTTTGTTTCTGAACCACGTAAGGGTAAATTAGGTGTATCATGGCCCTTTACCCCTAAATATTTTAGTATGTATTCAGTGTGCATTTCCTAACAGTAAGGGTTTTCCCTTATGCAGTCACAGCACAGTTATCAATCTCAAGTAGACTTAACATCCACACAATCTTTTTATCTAATCCATTGTATGAAATCCAGTTTGGTCAGCTGATCCAATAATGTCCTTTACAGCATTTTACCCCCTCCCAGTACAGTCTCGAGTCAGGTATTGCATTTAGTTATCATCATCTCTTTAGCTTCTTTTTGTACATTTTAAATCATTCACCAGCCAGTGGACATTGAGTTATTTCCAGTTTTTGGCAATTATGAATAAAGCCACAATAAATATTGTACTGAAAGACCCTAGCCATTGCTTTTGTGTAAATATGAGTCTTCATCTCTTGGGTAAATATGTAGGACTGAGAATGTTGGATCATATGGTGTTTACTTTGTAAGAAACTGGCAAACTATTTTCCAAAACGGCTATACCATTTTGCATTTCCTACCAACACTGTATGAGATACTCAACTGCTCTGCATCCTTGTTAGCACTTGATACTGTCATTTTTAAGCCATTCTAACAGGTGTATGTACCTCCTTGTGGTTTTAATTTGCATTTCCTGAATGACTAACCATGCTCAGCTTTTTTTCCATGTGTTTATTGCCAGCTATATATCTTCTTTGATGAAATGTCTGCTTACATATTTTATCCATTTTTTTTTTAATTGGGCTGTTTTCTTATTTTTGAGTTGGGTAAGGTTCTGTATATACTGGATGCCAGTTCTTTCTTAGATATATGTTTTGCAAAGATTTTCTCTCAGGCTGTGGCTTGTTTCTTCATTTTTTAGTAATGTATTTTTTTTTTTTAAAGATTTTATTTATTTATTTGAGAGAGAGAGAATGAGAGACAGAGAGCACGAGAGGGAAGAGGGCAGAGGGAGAAGCAGACCCCCTGCTCAGCAGGGAGCCCGATGCGGGACTCGATCCTGGGACTCCAGGATCATGACCTGAGCCGAAGGCAGTCGCTTAACCAACTGAGCCACCCAGGCGCCCTTAGTAATGTATTTTAAAGTAGAGAAGTTCTTAATTCTAGTGAAGTCCAATCTATCAGTTTTTTATTTTATGGATTGTACTTCATGTGTCTCATTTAAAAAATCTTTGCCTAACTCAAGGTCACAAAGATTTTCTCCTACATTTTCTTCTATAAGTTTTAAGTTATACTTTCCTTAGGCTCTTTTAATCTGGGAATATTTTCGTAGCCTTCCTTCATTTTTTATGATATTCATATTTTAACAGAATGTTTCTCACTTCAGACTTATCTTTTATTTCCTTGTTATTAGTTTCAGGTTTAACATTCTCAGCTGGAATACCGCATAGATGATGCTGTGTCCTTAGGGAATCACATCTAGTGTTACACGATGTCCACTTACCCTCACTGATTATGTTCATTTTGATCAGCTGTTCAAGGCAATGTTCTAATAACCAATGTTCAAGTTTACTCTCATGGATTAATTCATTCAACATATATTTGCTGAGTGCCAAGAGATACCACTGTAAATAAGAGTCAAAGATTCTGCTTCTATGAAACAGGGAGCACAGACCAAGCAAATATTACAAATGTGACAAGTGTTATGAAAGGGAAAATAGAAAGCACTTTTGGTGAATGCTTTCTCTCCCAAATCAGGAACAAGGCAAGGATATCTGCTCTTATTACTTCTACTCAGTGTTGTACTAAAGTCCTAATCAACACAGTAAGAAAGAGAAATAAGAAGAAATAAAACTGCCTCTATTTTTAGGCTACATGATCATCTACATACAATATACCAAAGAATCTACAAAGATCAACTAGAACTAAAAAGAGAGCTTAGCAAGGTCATGGGATACAAGGTCAATAGAGAAAAATCAATTATATTTCTATATACTAACAATTAGACATTAAAAAAATACCATTTTATCATTAAAAAACTGAAATACTTGGGGGGTGCCTGGGTGGCTCAGTTGGTTAAGCATCTGCCTTTGGCTCAGGTCATGATCTCAGGGTCCTGGGATAGAACCCTGCGTTGTCAGGCTCCCTGCTCAGCGAGGAGTCTGTTTCTCCCTCTCTCTCTGCCCCTCCCACAGACTCATGCTCACTCTCTCTCAAATAAATAAATAAAATCTAAAAAAAAGTTGAAATACTTGGGAATAAATCAAACAAATTACATACAAGATTTATATGCAAAAAATCATAAAAATACTGAGAAAAATTAAAATCTAAATAAATGGATAGATATAAAGTGTTCATGGATCATAAGATACATATTAAGATGTCAAATCTCCCCAATCGATCTATAAATTCACAATCATAATCAAAATCTCATCAAGCTTCTTTGTAGAAATCAGCAAGCTGATTCTAAAACTTCTATGGAAATGCAAAGGACCTAGCATATGTAAAATAATTTTGAAAAAGAAAAACTGTTAATGGACTCTCGCTACCTAATTTCAAGGCTTACTATAAAGCTACAGGAATTGGGGCACCTGGGTGGCTCAGTAGGTTAAGCGTCTGCCTTTGGCCCAGGGTCCTGGGATCGAGCCCCACGTCAGGCTCCCTCCTCAGTGGGAAGCCTGCTCTTCCCTCTTCTTCTGTCCTTCCCCCAGCCCACTCGTGCTCTCTCACTCTCTCTTGCTCTCTCAAGTAAATAAAATCTTAAAAAAAAAAAATAAAGCTACAGGAATCAAGATAGCATGATATTAAAGTAAGTAGAGAGATCAACAGAACAGAATCCAGAAATAGATCTATATATGTATATATGCTCCAACTGATTTTTGACAAAGAAACCAAGGTAATTTAATGAGGAAAGGATAATCTTTTTTTTTTTTTACAAATAGGGCCAGAACTATTGGACACCTGTGCAAATAAATGAACCTTGGCTTTATTCACACCACATACAAGATAATTAACTCAAATGGATCATGAGTCTAGAGATAAAAACTATAAAACTTCTAGGAGAAAAATCTTTGTAACTGTGGGTCAGGTAAAAATTTCTTAGTTAAGATACAAAATGCATTAATCGTAGAAGAAAAAAAAGATGAAGTGGCCTTCATCAAAATTAGGAACTTTCACTCTTTGAAAGGAATGTTCAGAGAACGAAAAGACAAGCCAGAGACTTGGAGAAATTATCTGCAAATTACCTATCTAACAATGGACCTGAATCCAGAATACATAATATATAAAAGAACTCTTAGAACTCAGTAGGACAAACAGCCCAATTAAAAAAAAAAGGGTAAAAGATTTGAATAAATACTTCACCAAAGAAGAAACACGGGTAGCAAAATAAACACATGATGTTTAACATCATTAGTCATCAGGGCAATGCAAACTAAAACCAAAATGAGATCTGACCATATACCTATTAAACAATAAAACATAATCTCACAGAGGGACTGAGAAACTGGCATTAGAGTCCTCAAGAAATCACCTCAGGGCTTTTGGGTACCTACATTTAATGAAATTAAAGACAAAGATGAAAGAAAAACAAGAGAAGAAAATTTTAATTTTACTTACCCCATTGCAAACTCATCTAAATTTGTTTTTCCCATCAGGACAGCTCCCTTATCCAACAATTTCTGAACAACTGTAGCATTGTAAGGTGGTACATAACCTGAAAAAATTATTTTTATTGTAGGAGAGAAAACAGTGAACATGTAAATCACACGCAAGAAACAAGATTTTAAACTACAACTAAGCTATTGATATTGACATGTATTAATTATTCCTAATTTGAGTAGCAGGTAGTACTTTCTTCCAAAAGCTAGTTAATTTTAATCTTGCTACTGCTAATTGCTCCATTTTCCAAAGGCAATGGTATATTCACTATTTTTTTTTTTTTAAGATTTTATTTATTTATTTGAGAGAATGAGAGACAGAGAGCATGAGAAGGAGGAAGGTCAGAGGGAGAAGCAGACTCCCTGCTGAGCAGGGAGCCCGATGCGGGACTTGATCCCGGGATTCCAGGATCATGACCTGAGCCGAAGGCAGTCGCTTAACCAACTGAGCCACCCAGGCGCCCATATATTCACTATTTTTATCATCTAAAAACATTAACAGTTACTACTACACAATACTGAATGACAGAGATGTACCCAATTCATTTGAAACTAATAGCACATCATTATTTTGCTCATTGTACTTGAAATGCTATATCCCATAGTAATTTTTTATCTATTTCCAGTCAGAAACAGATCTTTATTCTCAACTGAAATTTCATCTAGTGTGTACTCCAAGACAATTATCAACAATCTACCTATCAGAGGAACCTGGGGCATATTCCTCATAGACTTTCTTTTAGTGTGTAGCACTCTGAACAAGATTTTGCCATGTCTTTTTCTTTCTAGGATCCAGAAATCTTGAGAAACAGGTTTCCTTTTGACCTACTAAACTGTAAAGAATAAAACTAAGCATCACTATGTACTCAGATAAATATAGTGATATAAGAGATGGAGGAGTTGGGAAACAAAAAACAACTAGACAATAAAAGCGAATCCTCAGACCACCCTCACGAGAGGGGTGATGACAGCCCCTTCCTCCCTAGTCCCGTGGTACTGATGAGTGGGAGTCAGAGGGCGCTGAGTGTGTGTGTGGTGGTCAGTTAGTAAATCTCCCTAAGTAGGATTTCTAAAACATCCTAAATAGGATACATCCATTAAGCTGGCCTACCTCTAAGGGATAATTTTGAATTCCGAAAGAGCCAATAGTAAAAATATTCCAGCCTAAGTACTTCTTTTGCAGATATAATTAGTCTGAGAATACTTTGGTGCTTTAGTGTCTTATCTTTAATTTAAGCTGAAAAAATAGTTTCATAAAACTATTAATGCTCTGGTCGATTAAACTTTACCTTTCAGCATGTTTGATGCACATGTTGTCTCAATGCCGGACGTGCTAAAGTTGTCTTTTACTGCAACGGGAATTCCATCTAAATCCCCAAGTGAGTGACCTGCGTTAAAAAGCCAAAAGAATAGGAGCTACATCCAGAATATAAAGACACATTAATACTAGTTATTACAATAACTATTAGTTTTTGGTAAAGATACTTCTTCATAATTCAAGTTGATGTTAGAAATTATTACAGTTGGGCATTAGAAAGCATCACATACCCATTAGCCTTATTTTTATTGTACCTCATGGCAAGTTCTTTAAGTAAGACTATGTTTTATGTTAAAAAGCCTCACTTGACAAATGGAGACTGCTACATCCAATTAAATTCTTTCTCTAGGGATATGCCAATTAAGTAAAATTCACAGTAATTTACCTTTCTTGTATCTTTTCTCCGATTCTTCAGCTTGCTTTAAGGCCACCTCTTCTGAAACAGTAATGTAAGCATTTAGAAATTTGGTCTTCTTGATAAGGGAGAGACATTTTTGACAGAGCTCTGTTGGAGTAATGTGGCCTTGTTTCAGTGCTGTAGAAACCTGTAATATATACAATTCAAAAACCTTTTACTGAGGGGTGGGGGCATAGGTTAGCCCGGTGATGGGTATTAAAGAGGGCACATACTGCATGGAGCACTGGGTGTTACAGGCAAACAATGAATCAGCAAAAACTAATGATGTAATGTATGGTGATTAACATAACATAACATAAAAAAAAAACTTTTACTGAGGCTGCAGAAGATACAAGTATTATACTGAGTGGGGAGATAGAGTGGTGAAGTGTAAAATGTTGAAGTGAAGAGAACTCTATACCTCGGGAGTATAGTGAATGAGGGTAATGCACCCATCAGCCTGAGTAGGGGTGGATGGGGTGGGGGAGGCTTGGCGCGGGTGGGGCATGGGTGGGGCAAGCCGGGAATGCAGGCAATACAGAGTGAGAGCAACAGTTGGACAAGGCCCTGCAGGACCTCATGACTCGAAGTGAGATCTTTATGTTTTACTGCAGAATTCGAGTAAGAGCCACACAAGTTGAGAGAAATGCTCATAAAATATGGGTTCAAAAGCAAACTAAAACCAAACTTCTCCGCAATTCTGTCTTGGAGGCATTAGAAAGGCTAGTAAACAAAGTGTTAAGATAAACTGCACCACAAGTGACCAGAATCTATATGTTTATAGTAAGCGAAGCTTGAAATGATGACTATTTAATACTTCCTGGAGGAAGTAATAATAAGTACTTACTAATTAGATAAAAGCAATGAACAATAAGTCAAAGATGACACCAAAGCTTTGCAGATTATCTCAACAGAGTTGGATGAGATGGGGGCTTGGGGAGAAGGTGGATGGGTGGAGTAATGTTTATTGAGTATTTACCAAGAGCCGGATACTATTGCTTTACGTGCATTACTACCTCCCTTCACCTTAACACAACCATGTAAGTTATATCTTATTAACCTCATTTTACAGATGCAGAAACTGAAGCTCAGAGAGGTTAGTGATTTGTCCGAAGCCACACAACAGTACAGGGTAGAGGGAAGGTCATAAACACGTGCTCTTCCACTATCTCTCTCTGCGCTACAGCAAGCTTAGTCTGTCCTCTGAGCTGACTGCACCTTCAGGTGTCCGACATCCACCAAGCAACAAGAGTTTGCATTTGAGGAGAAAATCTGCATATCATCTGCTCTCAGCTGTTGATTAAATCATCAAAGCAGCGGTATTCTTAGGGCTGAGGGTTTTAGGGGAGCAAAGCAGTGGCAATAGGCCAAGGAGAGGTCCCCTCAGGCTGATGCACAAGAGGAGGAAAGCGTTGCCAAGGGGCGGCTGGGGGAGGGGCCCTGCAAGGGGCAGGGCAACTGGGCTATGCCATGGCCAAACTGGTAATGAAGAAAATTATGCCTATCTTTCTTTGCCTCCCCTCAAGTCTCCTAGTGCCTACTATCCTCAGGCTGCTTCCTGACTTGCCAGCTGGTATAAGAGTACAAGGGAAACGAGTTACAGTGGTGGTTACAAGGGCAAGAAATGAGACTGTCCAGGAGCACTCATTTTAAATGGTGCTGATCTTCATTAGGACCATTCTTAGGAAATCCAGATTTGAGAAAGTCAGTAAGAGAACTGGAGAAGGGAAATGAAAACAAAGATGGTAACTAGCTAGAATGGCCTGAGTATAAGGAGTGTGAAATAAAACAGTGCAGCTTCCCTGGGGCAAAACTGAAGGTGGTGTAGCTGAATATAAGATGAAATCAACTATAAGAGTTTTTGTTAAACCAAATTCGTTCTCCCTGACTTTTCTCTAATGGAAAGTAGGCTTTTCCTTGAGACCCCTGCTTGTCCTGCAGCTTTCTCAAGAGATGACTGCTTTAGCTTCTACCCACCATAGACCAGAGTCCAGTGGGGGAAGGGAGAATGTGCAGGCAGGCATCCTCCTCATTCCTCAATGCCTTCCTCTTCCCTCTTCGTTCAAAAGTCCCAGCTCAGCTGAATTACAGGCCTTGGGGGAGCTTATATCACTCTCCTTGGGGTGTGAATCCACCGTCTCCCGAGTACTCCTTTTCATTCATTGAAGATTCTCACACTTAGCTCCCTTTAATCTTTACCGTGGCTCCTGCTGTTATTCTGGTTGACTTCAGACTTCAAGTAACGTACACTGACACCTGGCCTCTCAGTTCTTGACCTCATTTCAGGCAAACTTTTCCTTCACCTTGCCCCAGTTACCAACTCAGCTCAGACTACATCATTACCAGTATCTCTAGAACCTCCAAAACCTCAATTTTAGTTATCCCACACCTCCTGTCCACTCAGCTTATTTGCTCAACCATCCACATGGTCAAGAAAAACATGGGGACCTCAGTCCTACAACTGCAAAGAAACAGAGTCTTCCAACAACCAATGAGGTTGAAAGAGGACCCTGAGCTTCAGATGAAACCACAGACTTGGCTGACCCCTTGATTTCAGCCTTGTGAGACTCTTGTGAGCAGAGAACCCAACTACTCCATTTCTGGACTCCTGATCCACAAAACTGTAAGATGATAATAGGATTATCTTAAGCCAAAAAGTTTAATTTGTTAGGCAGCAAGAGAAAAATAATACATCTTCTTAGAAAAATTAAGAAATCTTCCTCAGGAGCCACTCTTAGCAACTAGGGAAAGAGATCACTGTAAATACATATAATTTAGTAAATTTGTCCCTATAACAAAATTAATGTCAATAATAGCACTTAGTTCTAGGCATTATCCTAGATGCTTTATATTTCTTTTTTTTCAAGATTTTTAAAATTTTAATTCCAGTATAGTTAGCAGTGTTCTATTAGTTTCAGGTGTACCATATAATGATTCAACAATTCCATACAACACCTGGTGCTCATCACAGTAAGTGCCCTCCTTAATCCCCATCATCTATTTCACCCATCCCTCCACCCACCGATGCTTTATATTTCATTTAATCTTTATATCCACTATGAGGGGCTGATATTCTTATTTTCTTTTTACAGATAAAAAAAACTAACATTCTTGCTTGAGGTCACAAAGCTAGAAAGTAGCCGAGCTGCTGGGATTCAACCAAGGCCTGTTCTTGTTTCCAAATCCCATGCTCTGGACCACTATACTATTAACTTTACAGAGAGCATCAGAAGTTCACTTAGGAAAAGAACCACCTTTTAAAAAGAATTGTCTTGATAAATGCTGAAGGTAGGAGAGCCCTTGAGGCCTGAGTGTCCAGTTGACTGGAACCCATTAACACACTCCATTCACGCTTTTGTCTCCAATGTTTCAAGAAATTGCATCAGGATCACTAGCAACCTCACATTCCTAAATCCAGCAGTGAATGCTCAGTCCTCATCTTACAAGTACTTTTCAGCAGCATTCAACTTAAGAGAACACTCTCCTCTTGAAGCTTTTTCACTTGTGTTTCAGGACACCAAGACCTGGTTTTCCTCTTGCCTTACTGACCATTCCTTCAACGTCTCTTTTGCTGGCTCTGCTTCCTATTGCTGACTCTAAATGTTGGAAAGTTTTAGGCCTTCTTCTATTTTTGTACTCAATTCCCTGGGTGTTCTTATCTGGCCACACACTTTTATTATCTTCTATACTCTGGCCACTTTATATCCTCATACCTAGCTGCCTTTCTGATCTCCAAACTTCTAGATAGCCACTTGCTTAAATGACTTCTTCACCTGGATAGCTAGCAGACATCTCCACATTAACATGCCCAGAACAGAAGTCTTGATAACTTTCCTCCTTCCAAATATGCTTCCTAAGAGTCCTTCCTGAATGGGGGCCCTCAAAAAACGAAAAACAGAACTATCATATGATCCAGCAATTCCAATTCTGGGTATTTAGTCGAAGAAATGAAAACACTAATTCGAAAAGATACATGCACCCTTATGTTCATTACAACATTATTCACAATAGCCAAAATGTGGAAACAACCTGTCCATTGACGGACGAATGGATAAAGGAGATGTGGTATATGTACGGTGGAATATTAGCCATTAAAAAAGAATGAAATCTTGCCACTTGTGACAACATGGATGGACCTTGAGAGTATTATGCTAAGTGGAACAAGTCAGAAAAAGACAAATAACGTTATGATTTCACTTACGTGTGGAATCTAAAAAACAAAACTCATAGATGCAGAGAACAGACTGATGGATGCCAGTAGGGAAGGAGGTTAGGGGATGGGCAAAATGGGAGAAGGTACAAGAGGTACAAACTTCCAGTCATAAAATAAATGTCATGGGGATATAATGTACAACATGGTGATTATAGTCAACAATATTGTACATTATGTAACTTTATATGGTGATCGGGAAAAACTAGACTTATTGTGATCATTTTGCAGTGTATACAAATACCAAATCATTATGTTGTACACCTGCAACTAATATAATGTTCTATATCAATTACACCTCAATTAAAAAAAAAGGGGGGGGAAAAAACCTCTTCCTCATCTTGATGTTACCACTTTCCCAACTGCCCAGGTCAAAAATCTAACCATCCTCCTTCATTCTTCTCTTTCCCTCAAACTCTGTATCCAATCCATCAGCAAGCCCTAACTTAAAAAACAATCCCATTTCACATTATCTCTATGGCCACCCCATCTATGCTGCCATCATCTCTTGCCTTCTAACTGATCTTCCTGCTTCCTCGCTTGCTTTCCTACAGACCATGTCTTTAGGAATAACCTGAGGGAGCTTTTTAAATTTTAAATCAAATCATATCCACATACTCACAAATTTCCAGAGGCTTCTCATTACACTTAGAATAAAATCCACACTCCTTAGCACGGCCTAAAGTTTTCCATGATCGGGCTCCTGTTTATCTCTCTAACCTCATCTCCCACTATTCTCCTCTTCATTCATATTTCTCTAGGCATGCTGGCCTTCTTGCAACTCCTGAATGTGTCAAGCTTGCTCTTGCTTCAGACCCTTTGCACTTACTGTTCCGTTGGCCTGGAATACTATTCTCCCAGGCCTTCCTGGGGCTTCCCCTTCATATCCTTTAGATCTCTTAAAAATAGAGAAACCTTTCCTGACCACTCCCAACACATCTGGCTCCCCCCACGAGTTCTCACACTGTGGCCTGCCTAATCTTTCTTCATAGTACTTATACTACCTGTGATTATATTATTTACTTAAAAAAAAAACAAAACACTTCTTTAATGCCTGTTTCCCCACAAAAATGCAGGCTTCATGAGGGCAGGAACTTCTGTTTGTCTTCAATGTTAATTCCATGTCTGGAACACAGAGGTGGTAACTAAATGTTAGCTGAATGAATGAATACCTGAGTTATTTAAAATTTGGAATCTGTTTTCCCATAGAATAATTAAGTGTTCTTAGGTAGACCCCCAACAAGCCTATTCAATATATAATTAATAACTTTAGGATTAATATTAGCCTGATGTCTGGCTCCCAGAAACACTGGGAAGATACCACAAAAGAGGAAGGTGAAAGTGAGACTCCTCCTCTTTCCTGAATGTACCTGCATAAAACTTGAGAAATAGGACTTTTACCTCCCATTTGGCATGTTACCTCCTTTTAGTGCTTCCTTCCAGGCCCCCTGTTACTCTAAGCCTCACTTAGGTCCCCAACATTGCCTCAAAACTCCAGTTTCCAGCTCCTCTCCCAAATTTCCTCCCCAGCAAATTTTCCCTTTCTTCAATTGATTATATCAACTAGCGTGTGATGGAGAGAAATTTTATTAAACTATTATAACTCACAACAATGGGTGAATAAATCATTCGACCCTGCAAGGCATCTTGATGTATTTAAAAGAGAACATGTACTAAAATAATTAATCTCTAATTGGTAGAATTTGGGATGTATAATGATCTGAGAAAAAATACAAAGCGGAGAGAAGATATTTTTTGGGCTGGGAAAATGACTACCAAATAATGTTTTGTGCACAGTAGGCATCAACAAATATTTGTTAAAGAAGTAATTAAGTGAAAGTAATCCTGTTCAGGCAACCTCTTGTGTACCTTAGGTCAGCTCTCCTGTTTTTTTCCCCCTGGAGGCAAAAGTTGTTTCTCACAGGGGCACATTCAACAACACCAGAAAGGGGTGGCACAAAAGAGGGGCTGCTGAAGGGGGAAAGGGCAGAGAAAGGAAATACTGTATTTTTATAGGTTGCATTTCATTTTAAAACTAGTTTTTGGTGTTTTATTTTTTTTAAGAACAAATTGGATTCTTTAGTAGAGGAATTTACTGTACAGAAATATGTAGTAGAGGCCAGAAGCCATATTAAGATGGTAAAATACTAATGTATTTTGGGAAAGGACTATATTATTAAATGCCTGTCAATTTTAAGTTATGATAATTTATAGCTTTCTAAAAGGCTACCATATGGGGGGGGTGGTTGGAAGATTTCCCAGGTGAAGATACAACAGGAAGATGGAAGGCAGGATAGGTCCTCAACACCTACTTACCAGCAGAATCACCTGGAGCTTTGGTTAAACCATATAATCTGGTCCTCAAATCACACAGCTGCCAAAGTGGGACACAGCTGTGGTTTTAACAAGAACCTGATGTGATTCTTGTAAGAGTGGGCCTGCAGACAGTTCTCAAGTTTGAGAGATATGGGCCAGAAAACAAGGAGACATGAACTGAAGCCTTAACAGCAGAGAGTAAGTGAAGAAAACAATTTCCAGACATAAATTCCAAAACAGAATTAACAGGGCTTAGTGATTTATTGGATATGATAGATGAGAAAGAATGTAGGGGAACTGGGATTAAAAGTTGTGCCATTAAAAAGAGAATATTAAGAATTCAGAAATCTGGTTTTTGTTTTTTAAGGTGGAGATTGAGAAATAAGAAGTGGTCCTATTACAATGCTGAAGTCAACTCTGGTTAAATTAAGTGGAGGTGGTTATGGGGCATTTGGAAGAGATGTCCAGAGGGCACTTACAAATATTAGACTAGAGTTTAAAAATGATGGCTAGGACATGAAGACACAGGTGAGAGAATCATTAGTATCTTAGTGGTAGATGAAGTCTAGAGAATACGTCAAGGCGGGGCGGGGGGGAGGGGGACTAAAAAATACTCGTTTGTATTTTGCAAAGTACAGATCTGCTGAGCCTCTAAGCGAGAACTGCATCAGATCAGTGTCGGGGACAGAAGGAGACTGAAGTGGACTGGCGGAGCCCACTCTAAGAGGCCAGAGTGGGTCTTGGGTCTGACCCAAGCCTTAGCAACATCTAATTGAGAAGCCGCCGTATACTTCCACCGCACAGCTCCGCGCTAAGTCTCCCTTGCTGAGGTCCTAACTCCAGGATGGGTACAGGGAGTACAGCTGAAGGCCCCAAAGGTCTGAAGCACCCACCCAGTTCCAGGAAAGGAGACGGCGAGGCTGACCAAGATGCGAGTCAGACCCGGGGGCTCCTTGTCCACGGAATCCGCGAATCTTTCTGACCTCCCTGGGCCCTCAGCAGCCAGTTCCACTCACTTCTCGGAGGGTCCGGCCCAGCATGGTCCTCGTGCCCAGCCTGCCACCATAAGGCCCAGGTGACCAGGAGGAATAAGAGAGGTCAACACCCGCGCCGGGGTCACACGGGCGCAGCCATCTTTGATCGTCACTGCACCTTTCAACACCGAGTACTTAGATTGGTCGAATTGCAGCTCGGGGAAATGATCTTTGCGCGCGATTGGTTGGCGCCGCAAAGCAACTCCTGCGGCGAAGGAGAGCGGGTTGTAAGGAGACTCGGGCTGGGGTCCCGGAGGGAGTCGGGAAGACTGATTCTATGTGGCGTCTGGGTCGCGAGCGGAGTTAGCTTATCCTGCCGGGGGCTCCCGGGACAGGGCTGGATTCTAGGGGTTTTGTTTTTGCTTTTCAAAGGGGAGGGGTGTGAGGAAGGAGGAGAATGGACAGAATATTGACTGGAACGTTAATTGGGGCTTTTCAGATGGGAAGAGCAGAGTAATTCCATATTCTTCTTCCTTCATTTGCTCCATTAGTTAGGCTGACTTCATTTTTGAATTCTTAACTTTGAAATCGGCCAGTGTGTTTGATTCAGGGGTTGGAGTTCGATCCCATTTAAATGCATTTTAATTAGGGCACGCAGTTCAACTGATGCTTACGATGGAATTTCTGAAGACGTGTGTACTTAGAAGAAATGCATGTACTGCGGTTTGCTTCTGGAGAAGCCACGCCATACAAAAACTTTTAGTTGGAAAGATTAGTACTACCTCTTCAAGGAGCACTGTCATGCCCGCCTGGGTGATAGATAAATACGGGAAGAATGAAGTGCTTCGATTTACTCAGAATATGATGATACCTGTCATACACTATCCAAATGAAGTTATTATCAAAGTTCACGCTGCAAGTGTAAATCCAATAGATGTTAACATGAGAAGTAAGTTTTCGAAAGACATTCCTCCTTACCTTTTTTTAAAATTCAGAATTTCATCAGGGATCAGTTTTAAAAATTCACTTGTTATTTGACTACGCTTCTTTGCTTAACATGAAGGAATAGTTTAGGTATTTGACAGTATCTCAGATATTATTTGTCAAGTTTTTGAAATTGCAGTGTTCATGGTTTACTTTATTTAGTCTTTTGCAAAATATAAGCAAATATACCTTTTGAAATGTTTCCATGCTTCCTTAAAATGTAAATTGGAATTTCAGTTAATTTGGGTTCCACAGCTAACTTTTTGTTCTCTTCTCCTGGGAACTTGGTGGTATTCTGAGGGCTGTTGCAGGTTTTGGAGGTATGATTATGTTTTCACATCAGTTCAGAATTTGCATTTTTATAATAATTCTTTGCTCTCCCACTATTCACATCTTTATTGGTGCAGTGGGCAAAGCAGGACAGGTGCCCGATATACAGTCACAGTACTTTCCTCATTTCTGCTGTTGAATTTTGCCCTCTGCACTTAAAATACCCTTTCCTGTATGCTTCATCCTAAATGGGAATGTTACCATCTTAATTTCTGCTGGGGAATATTGACAAAGCTTGAAGAGCACTATATTCCTTAAGAATATATACACCATGCAATTAGTATAGTGCTGAAAAGACTGATTACTACTTGTGAATTTAACTTTGGGGGAAAAAATGACAAAAATATTCCTCACCCATGTCTTCTCAAAAAATTTTTGAAAATCTCTTGGGATGATTGGTTAGTTAACTTCCTTGTTATAAATAAGCTGCCATATGCAGTTTAATTTAACTGTAGGTCTGTGTTTTGAAGGGCTGTATGTAACTTAGAGTTCTTATCAGATTGCCTTGTAATAGTTACTGTATGTGAACTATGTGTGATTAATTAAATTTCTTGGTTTATATGAACCAATTATAAAATTTAATCATTTTGCAAAATTTATGGAGAAGTTGGAAAGTGTTGAGGCTGAAATTTTCGCATTTTTCCTCCGATTTTGCAGGAGCTGTGTGATGATTAGGGTGTCAGTTCTCAGGTGTTTTGGTCTTAAGATCTCTTTACCCTCTTGATAATTACAATGGGCTTTTGTTTGTGTGAGTTATAGCTATCAGTATTTACCTTATTAGAAATTAGAGGAGCAAATTTAAAATTTTTATTCATTTAAAAAGGCAGTAAACTCCTTTGGTGTTAACATTACAAAATTAAATCAGGTTAGAAGTATAAAATGGTATAAAGGGACACCTGGGTGGCTCAGCCGGTTAGGCGGCCAGCTCTTGATTTCGGCTCAGGACATGATCTCATGGTCCTGGGATCAAGTCCTGCATCCGGCTCCCTGCTCAGGGGAGAGTCTGCTTCTGCCTCTCCCTTTGTGCTCTCTGCTTCTAACTCTTACTCTCTCTCAAGTAAATAAAATCTTAAAAAAAAAAGACCTCTTAGGCTCCTCAAAAAGATCTTGGGGATGTAAAAACTTAGAGAACTGCTGGATTAGGGAAATAAAGTCCAGTGTCTCGGTCTTTAGGTTTGTTTATTTTTTTAAGATTTTATTTTTAAGTAATCTCTACACCCAACACAGGGCTTGAACTCAACGACCCTGAGATCAAGGGTTGCACGCTCTACCAACTGAGCCAGCCAAGCACCCCTTGGTCTGTAGGTCTTTTGTCTCCAATTTTTTTTTTTTAAAGATTTTATTTATTTATTTGAGAGAGAGAATGAGAGAGAGAGCACATGAGAGGGGGGAGGGTCAGAGGGAGAAGCAGACTCCCCGCCGAGCAGGGAGCCCGATGCGGGACTCGATCCCGGGACTCCAGGATCATGACCTGAGCCGAAGGCAGTCGCTTAACCAACTGAGCCACCCAGGCGCCCCATGGCTCCAGTTTTTAGTGTTGCTATTTTTAACTTAATGACTATATCTGGACCTGGGCTGTCCAATATAGTAGCCACTAGTCACAGGTGAGTGTCGAGCTACTGAAATGTGGCTAGTTTGAAATGAGATGTTAGTGTAAAATACACACTGGATTTCAAACAGTAAGAAAAAAAGAATGTAAAATATCATCAATTTATATTGATTACACATTGACCTGATACTATTTTGAATATATTAAATAAAATATTAAGATTAATCATTATTTTTTAGTGGCTACTAGGAAACTTAAAATGACATATGTGGCTTGCATTATATTTCTCTTGGACCGTGCCAATCTAGGCAGTGTGAGGAATAGCTGTTACACATGTCTTTGTGGGGCAGGGGTTTGAGGAAAGACTTGGACTCCTAAAGTGCTTATAGCTAGAAAGCTCCCTATTAAGGATGAATTGAAATGTCTTTACTATGATTGTCCCATGAAATCCACATTTGTATTCTTTTTATTTGCTCTGAAGTAAGAGGTGCTACTGCTTGTTGGCTATAGTGTTTTACTTTATTCATTTACATTGGGTATGAAGATAATTTATTTTTTATAGGCTGTGTCTTTAAGTGGTGGGTTTATACCCAATGATCAGTATGTTTTTTCATCTCCTTTGACTGTAAATCCTTTGGAGGTAGATCCCATGTTCTACCAACCACTAACTGTTTCAGCACTTCACATATGTGGTTATCATTCAGTCTTTATTTTTGCGTCATTTTTTATTTTCATTTTAACTTAAGATTGCAAACTAAAATTAGTGGTGTTCTAACCTTGAGTAATTTGTACATTTTGTCTTCTTTTAGATCTGTTAACTTTTAATTTCTTTGAATGCATATGCACAATTTGTTTTGTGTACATTTTAATTTCAGTAGGGTGCCTGGATCTCAACTTTATGGCTGCTATTTAACAATGTAATACTGTGACACATTTTACTTTTATACGGTATTCTTGAGACTTCTTACTAGTTTTTTATAACTTAACTGAGTAATATTATTTGTAAGTTATATTTCCTGCTCATGGATCCTTTTGTTTAGTTTAGTTTAGTTTTGTTTTTGAGAATGTGTGATTGTTGTTGCAGGAGATACCTGAAATGGTAGCTTGCAGAAATAAAATAATGAGTAGAAGTTTATAAACTGTAGGAAGCCATTATTTCCCTTAACAAGAATGCAAGGACCTATGAAGCCAGGCTGTTTTTCTGGAGATAGCCACTGTTATTGGACATAAAATCATAAATCATGTAAATGGCTAAATGAATAATCTTAAAATAGAAAAAAATATATAGCCAACAGCATCATACCAACAATCACTGATTTCTTTAGATGGGATTAAAGTCTGAAATTGATGACCTTAGGATTTTCCAAATCATCCCAACTCTGAGTCAGTTAAACTGGCAACCTCTAACAATGGGATGAAGCTCCTAAGGGCCCCCATTTATTTGTGTCCCCAAGCAGGTTCTCGCTCACTACCAGCTGCGTTCTGGATTTGCGGCTTGTTGGGCTAGTACCAAAGGTGAGTGAGGCAGGGCTACTCTGTTGACCAAGAAACCTTGAGCAACCTTGTCCTGCAGGCTCTGTACCTCAGAAAGGACTGAAGCCTTTTTTGTAGCTCTGAAGCTGCAGCTACACTCTGACATGGCTAAATACCCACTTTTGTTGCTCATACCACATAGGAATTTCAGTGAGTAATTGTTTAATTGTGTTTTAGTTATGGAAAAGGAATGTAAGACAGGAAAAGTGAAACGTGACTTCCGTGAGTATTACATGTGAAGTTGTTTTTTTCCCCTGATGGGGGGGGTGCACTCCTAAATAGCCAGATGGCAAATATGTAATATTGGCATGATGGCCATCAGCTTAGATTTTTCTGGGACTATCCCAAATTTTCAAACACTCTCTCCCACACATCTTGATTTTTTTTTTTTTAATTAGAAAAACAACTGCAAGCCACCCACCTGTCCTCTCCCGCTGTATCCTCTACCTTTCCCTCCTGCTATATGGATTAACCTCCTTGTTCCTGTCTAAGGCCAACCCTCCACGTGGGTTCCTGATTCCATCCCCTTTAATCAACTCAGAAGCACTGTTTCAGAAATTCTTTTCTGTATCATCAGTCTTTCCCTTTCTATGGGATCATTCTGATTAGCACACAAACTTGATGTTATTTCTCCCCTCTTAAAGAGGAGGAAAAAAAAAAAACACTCAAAAATCCTCTCTCCCTCTCACCTGTGCCCCTCCAGTCACTGTTTCATTTCCGTGCTCCCCTTCATAGGAAAATCTACTTGAGAAAGTTGAATCGTCTCAGGTCTCCAGTTCCTCCCTTCCCTGTTCTCTTTCGAGCACTCCAGTCCACAGCAACTGCTGTCAAAATCACCAAAGACCTCTGTGTTGCTGGATCAGCTGTTTGGTTTGGTTTTTTAAAAAATGTATGGCATCTTTTGACTTTATCTGAAAAACTGTTTTACCTCTCAGCATTTGACTTTTTTTTTTTTAAGGTTTATTTATTTTTAGAGAGCCCATGAGCAGGTGTAGGGGGGCAGAGGGAGAGGGGGAGAGAATCTCACGAAGACTCCCTGCTGAGTGCAGAGACCAGGGCGGGCTCGATCTCACCACCCTGAGATCAGGATGAGTGGAAACCAAGAGCCATGGACTGAGCCACCCAGCCTCCCCAGCATTTGATTTCTTGAAATGACCCTCTTCCCATGGCCTTCAGCACCCCTCTGCACTGGTCAGGCCTTCTCAGTCTCCTTTGCTGGTTTCTCCTCATCCTTATGATCTAATGTGCCACCTCTGCGGATGGGTGGGGGGAAAGGGGAAACTCACAGAGTGGGTTAGTGACTTCGGAGCATAAATTGTGGTACATGACACAAGAAAGGTGGAAGGAGTGGAAAGAGTGCTTATCTTGGAGAGCCTCACCTAGCTCATTTCTCTGTTCTCAGAGAAATGTCAAGCGAAAGAGGCTATAACAGATAATTTTGTGTCTTAGAAAAGTCATTTTATATGTTGAAGCTTGTAATAAACTAGGTTATTGTAGATAGCCAGTTTATTTGAAACAAAAGTTATGATTAGAATGTTTTCAGCTCTATTTAGCTGCTATTTATGTAAAATTTAAAAAATAAAGATAGAAGTCAAATTAACTGCTTTATTATCCATCAGAATAGAGGTAGTCAAACTTTTTTTTTTTCCCCCCACTCATGAATCTATGCACTTATTTCAGAGGTGCTCTGGAAGCATTTTTGAGGATGTGGGGAACATTATCCCTAGACCAGGGTTAGGCATGGATACAGTATTTGATACTGTTTGTTAACTTCAAAAAGCTTTAACATTTATCTTTTTTAAAAAATTTTTTAAAATTAACATATAATGTATTATTTGTTTCGGGGGTACAGGTCTGTGATTCATCAGTCTTACACAACTCACAGCACTCGCCATAGCACGTACCCTCCCCAATGTCCATCACCCAGCCATCCCATCCCTCCCACCCCGCTCCACTCCAGCAACCGTCAGTTTGTTTCCTGCCATTAAGACAAATCTTATGGTTTGTCTCCCTCTCAAACATTTATCTTCTTCACTAGACTTGGCACCAAATGATTTTGTTGTTTAACAAGTTCATGAATTAATAAAGGAAACCATTTTCAGAGAATAAAGTAAAACTGTAAAAGGAAATACCAAAAGTTCTGAAGGCCGTTTGAGCAATGGTAGCTTTAGATGAATGAGTGGTTATAACTTTGCAAGTAATTTTCTTTGGAAAGAACAACATTCCTTGTTTTTGTGCTTTCGAGTGCGATGATAAAAATTGTGAGATTGATTATTTTATAATCTACATCTTGAGGATCTAGAATCTGGCATGTAACTCTAGTGGTTTTTAAATCATTTCATTCTTTTGGAGGAAACCGATAAATTGTATTTCACAGGTGGTTATGGAGCTACGGCTTTAAATATGAAACGTGATCCTTTACATATTAAAACCAAAGGAGAAGAATTTCCCCTGACTCTGGGTCGGGATGTGTCTGGTGTGGTGATGGAATGTGGACTCGATGTGAGGTACTTCAAGCCGGGAGATGAGGTGAGTTAACTCCTTTTCTAAATATGTGGATTTCATTTTGCTTCTTTTGGAAGTATTTCTGTATCCTTGACCTTTTTTTTTTCTTCAAGTATACTGACTGAGCTTTGGGTAGAACCCTCATTTTCTTGGTTCTGTTGTTACATTTTTCACAAACAATTCCAAAAGAGCTTGACTGTACTTGAGCTTTCTAAATCCAGTGCTTAAGAACTGGAAGACTTTAAAATATGTAGGATTGGGACAACTTTTTTTTTTTTTTTCTCCTTGAAGTCTTTAAATGACAATTTCTACCTTTTGGGTTAGATGGTTTTAAAATAGCTAAAGTTTGGTATAATCACCTGTCACTTGTCACTTTGAATTTTTATACCAAGAAATTAAAGTTGAGCTCATAATAATAGTTAACACTGTTCTAGTTGCTTTTCATAAAATAACACATTTAATCCTTAATGAAGTAAGTACAGTTAGGCACAGTTTACAAGATGAGGAAGCCCAGCTGTAAAGGAAGTGCTAGAGCCAGTATTCAAACCCCAGAGACTGTGCTCTTACTGGTACTCTAAGTAGTCCTTAAATACTGTAGGATTTATTAGCATCTGCTTCCAGTGTGGTTTGACTTGATAAATTCAGAATCATACTAAGTACTGCATTTATGTTATGTGAAAATAACTCTTGCTTGGCCTATTGCTGACTTGTGCTTTTTCACAGGGTGGGGTCTGTATCGGGGAAAGCCCTCATGCTGAGCTTTGGTCAGAAAATGTTTCTAATGAAGCTGTGTGTTTCAGGTCTGGGCTGCAGTTCCTCCCTGGAAACAAGGCACCCTGTCAGAGTTTGTTGTAGTCAGCGGGAATGAGGTAACTCCCCAGCTCCGTGCTGAAATGCCGTTAGAAAGTATAAACAAAGACTGACAAGTATCTCTGAAATAACTGGTTGCTTTTCACATCAGGTTTGTGTTTTATGGGTAGTTCTGAAAGAACTAAGATACAGAATAGGAACTTTTGAAAGAGTAAAAAAAGTATTTGATGTCCTTGAGTAACACTGCCTGCCAAAGCGGCTCTTTGTCTCACGGAGCAGGGATTTGGAGTGAGATCTAGAAACCCTGCTGTGTTTCTCAGTTTTACTCCGAATAAGCAGTTGAAACCAAATATACCAAATGGAGCATACCGGTTAATCATCAACAGAAGCATGGGAGTATCAGGCTTTTTCAAATAACTTTAAAAACAATCTAATCAAATACAGTCAGGTGGCCTGACAATTTGAATAAAGAGAAAGGGGTTAACATTGAGGAAATTGGCTATAGAGGGAAGGGCAGGAAGGGAAAAAGGGGTATTATTGAGATTAGAGAAAATCTGGAAAGATTATCTTCCACTAAATGGGAGTAAAGGAAGCAGCTGATCTCAAAAATAAATTAGGATGTGTTTATGAGGGCTCAAGGTTTACTTGGAGTTATTTCTGGGTATAGTCAGAACTAATGGGATTATCAAATGTAGTCTTCTTATGAAGAATTAAACAGCTTTATCTGATAATGTAGCCTATAAAATATTACTGAACCTCTTTGAGGCAGGTTGAGTCATTAGGAGAATATTCCTTAGGGATAATCCTGGAGTAGGGTATGCAGTAAACAGTGAACCTGGCAGAATGTTACAGACCTATCTATGAAAGTAGTTGGATTCCTATGCAGATAAATATACTTAATTGTGTTCATAGGTTTGCATGTCATTGCTTATCTTAACTGTTGTCTTCAAATTTAGGTCTCTCTCAAGCCTAAATTACTCACTCATACTCAAGCTGCCTCTCTGCCCTATGTGGCTCTCACAGCCTGGTCTGCCATAAACAAGGTTGGCGGCCTGAATGACAAGAATTGCCCAGGAAAACGGTAAGTATCAACTGTGTCGTCTAAACCTCCCTTCTTTCCTTCTGTTGTAAGGTCTTTCTTTGCAGCAGATTTGTGAGAAGAGTATTAAAATTCAGATCAGATCGCTTGCATGAGCAGAGTTGCGGTAACATTTAAAACAATCTCCAAAAAAACTCTTATTTGTGTCAGTTTGTACTTCTTTTTTTTCTTTTTAAAGATTTATTTATTTTAGAGAGAGTGCCTGAGCTGGCGGTTGGGGGCGGGGCGCAGAGCAGAGGAAGAGGGGGAAAGAGCATTTTCAAGCAGACTGTACGCTGAGCATGGAGCCTGACGTGGGGCTCGATCTCACAACCTGGAGATGATGACCTGAGCCGAAACCAAGAGTCGGATGCTTAACCAACTGAGCCATCCAAATGCCCCCAGTTTGTACTTTCTTAACCTCATTGTGTTGATTCTTAGCCCAAGCAAATGGGAGTTTTTAAAAGGAAACATGTAGGTGAACTTGGGGAATCTGAACTTCGTAAAATAATGCAAATTTTTATGTAAATTTCTACAAAGCAGATCCATAGCTTTGATTAGATTCTTGAAAAGGTTTAAGCATCACCTTATACATTTGCTAAGGAATGATGTCAAGGTACAGGTGTGTTTTCTTTTTTTTTCCCCCCGTACCTCTGCTAGGATTTGCTCTCTGACTTGCAGATTTCTGTGAAGACCAGATATAAAGGGACTGCAAAACACTGATGAATATTCTGGAGTTCTCTTAGGCTTAATGCTTGGCATCCTTTAGGTCAATTCTTGTGCTTCAGGGTCTTTACTGTTTGAGTTAGCAACAGCACAGGGAGTAGGAATGTCTTAGGTGTGCTTGAGTCCATATCCAGATTCTGCTGCTCTCTAGCTGGGGGGCCCCCCTCAGTCACTTCTCTGAGTTTTAAGGGTGAAATGAGAAAACACAAGTAAAACCAGTGGCACAGGCTGTGGCCCGTGGAAGCACTCCCTCAATGGTGGCTACTCTTATTAATGGTGAGACTGTATTCTTTGTGTTTTAGAAAGTTGGCATGATAGGGAAAATTGATTTTATTTTTTGGCAAGGTACTAAGAACCCCTTAATGATTGTGATAAAGGAGAGGGATCTATAGGTCAGCTTTTAATAAAATGAGTTTTTTGATTACTATGAATTAGCGCAGGTCAAATAACTATACTGTTGTGGGGGCGCCTGGGTGGCTCAGTCGTTAAGCAACTGCCTTCGGCTCAGGTCATGATCTCGGGGTCCTGGGATCGAGCCCCATGTCGGGCTTCCTGCTCAGTGGGAAGCCTGCTTCTCCCTCTCCCACTCCTCCTGCTTGTGTTCCCTCTCTCGCTGTCTCTCTCTCAAATAAATAAATAAAATCTTTAAAAAAAAAAACTATACTGTTGTGAAACCTTACACTTTACATTTAATGGGTTGGGCTATAAAGGCTTGAATTTAATGAAAGCTTAATAGCTGTATTTCTGAAAGCAGTGTGAAGGTGATTCATCTAATGAGCTGCTACCCTTTATTGTAGAATTCAAGGCAAATATTTATTCTAAAGGTCAACCCTGTTTATTTTTTAAGCTTTTGAAGTTACGGTTTAGGTCAGCTACTTGGTTTAAATTAAATTAGTCTGGCCACATAGCTTTTTCTAATGGTCTGTCTTTGTTAATAACCTTGCAAAATTCAGGGTTTTAGGCCTTTATTATTACTGTAGGCTCTGCATTGACATTGATGCTTTATTGTTTTGTTTTTCCTTTAAAACGTTAGACTTTTCGGGGCGCCTGGGTGGCTCAGTCGTTAAGCGTCTGCTTTGAAAGGTGTATAGGCTCAGGTCATGGTCCCAAGGTCCTGGGATCGAGCCCCACATCAGGCTTCCTGCTCGGCGGGAAGCCTGCTTCTCCCTCTCCCACTCCCTCTGCTTGTGTTCCCTCTCTCTCTGAGTCTCTCTCTGTCAAATAAATAAAATCTTAAAAAAAAAAACCAAAACATTAGACTTTTCATGCCTGCATGACCATCCATGTGCTATGGTTAGAGAACTCTCATTCCTTTTGCCAGGCGGGGCTCTCCAGGCATATTTGTTTTTAGTACCTAGAAGAAAACAATTTAGAAAAATCACCCTAGTTGTCTTTTCTTAGATACATGAATCTGTGCCCCCATTTTACTGTTGGCCTTGTGGGTAATTCTTTGGTACTGTGTTATCTTCTGTTTAAGCAATAAATGCTTAGAACTGAGGAAATAGAACCCACGGTCCTATTCTCTACTCTGCTGCTGACTCATCAGGTGACTTGGGCGTGTCATTTCTGGTCTCCGTGCAGTTTCCTCCAGGGTACTGCGTGGAAGATAGTGGCGGTTGTTAGGGGAGCTTTGAGAAGTGGAAAGCTTCTACTCTATAAGGTGGTTACATGGTGTATTGAGTTGGGGGTGTTCATTGATTTAGCCACATATTAACCAAACTGGAGTGAAGTCCATTGTAAAGAGCCTCACTAGCTCGGATCTTGAGGCTCCTGCATTCTCACCTGACCTGTAGGATGCCTTTGTTCCAAGTGGAAGCGAGAGCTGTGCCCGCAAGTGCTCTAGGAAATCTGTTTCCTGAGGTTATTACACACGAGTGGTAATAATGGTCTACCTCTCCCAGTTCCTTATTTGTGGGAATCAAATGAGAGGTGTGAGCACCTTAAACTACTATAAAAATTTTTTTACATGAAGAAATTATGACTAAAGTGGGATTTTTTTTTTTTTAAAGATTTTATTTATTTATTTGAGAGAGAGAGAATGAGAGACAGAGAGCATGAGAGGGAGGAGGGTCAGAGGGAGAAGCAGACTCCCTGCCGAGCAGGGAGCCCGATGCGGGACTCGATCCCGGGACTCCAGGATCATGACCTGAGCCGAAGGCAGTCGCTTAACCAACTGAGCCACCCAGGCGCCCAGTGGGATTTTATTATACATAAACTCAGAGGTTCCAGTGTCCAAAGTGGCTTTTTTCAGTTTGACTATTCATGGTGAATGGTGGAGCATATTTTGGTTTCTCTAAGACATAATTATTTTCTTTCTATCAGCTGTTGACATTAAGGCATGTTTTAGTCTGCAATAAAGGAGGTCAGTGTTTGTTAACAAGGGCTAATAGTCTATTTTTCTAACTAGTTATTTTAAACAAAACAAAACAAAAACACCCATCAGCACCGTGGAAGATTTTACAGGATTTCTTTATAACAAACAGCTTTTTCAAATTAAAACAAAGCTTTCTAAGGTAAGGGTTCAGTGTGTTTACTTTTTCCCTTTTCGTTATATAATTGTATTTCTGCAATAACTGAGCATCCGTTAACCAAGGTGATAGTTTAATATTGATGTCACATAATATGTCATTTTTGCCCACACTTTGATATCACTAGAGAATGTCAGATGCAATGATTTTTTTCTTACCAGCCCATCCATAGTTTCTTCATGATTTATTAAGTTGGAAAACATAGATAACCTAGGGCTCTCAAGATGATAGAGATGTTTTAAAAATTGGTTACGCCAGATATTTTTTGAAAGCAGTTTAGTCTGATGGTTATATTTATTGGTAGTGTCATGGTACATCTTGAATATTTCATGATCTACCTGAAATTCATCTTTTACTGGGAAAGTTGTACTTTACTCTGTTTGACAGAAGTATTAGAAAGTGTTAGAAATTGAACCATTCCTCTTCCACAAAATAAATTTCACTTTTAAATTGTGTATACTTAAAACTCAATGCAGTGAATTTAGAAATGCTTTTTACTGTTTCTTATTTGAGGTTAGCCTTTATGACAGTAAAATTTTGTCACGTAATTATAAATTGGGTGTCTGATTAATTCTGTTAAAGAATTAGACAGGCTCCAACTTGAAACTATTGGGTTTACCGCCCTCCCCCAACCACTGTGCTTACATGGTAATTATAATACAGCTTCCTTCCTTCAGATGCCTTCTGCCTGTTCTGCACCCCACCACCCACCTGTTTCCCCCGTACTCTCCGCTCCCACCGCCCCTGTGGACTTCAGGTTTTCATTTGCACTTGACTTACGGTTAGAGGGGTAAGGGGAAGAAGAAAGAAGCCTCAGGAGTTTACTTGCTGGGAGAAAATCGCGTGGCCGGGAGGAAGAGGAGAGGGAGGGTGGAGGCTCTGGCCAGTGTGATGCAAATGAGTCTTGCCTCCGCTTCTGGACCTATTTTGCTGGGGCCCCAGGAGGGCTCAGTAGGAATAGTAGGAAACCCTTTCCTGGCACTTTGTGGTTTACAGATGCGCTTTCTGGGTGACTAGGGTACTATCTTGTGAAGCTCGAAAGCCCTCTGCTCTTCGGGGCACTGTAACTTAGCCTCCAGCCTTGCCAGTGAGCCGCAGCTGTGTCGTGTCGTCCCCCCCCCTCCCCCCCCCATCATAGCTGAGTAAGTGGCCAACCTTGTGATCTTTTTCAGTTCTTAGCATTTCACCTCTCTGAAGTATATGGCCCTGCTGGTCACTTAAGACTCACTTTTTCCATGGTTTCAGGATACCAGACTCCTTTAGTTTTACTGCCTTTTTGAACACCTCTTCTAATTTTTAGAGGACCCTCTCTTTCTCCAATCCTTAACTGTTGCATTCCCCCTGTGTCCACTCCATCACGGCTCTGTCTCCCAGAGGTCTCTCACCTGCTCCCAGCTTCTGTTCCTATTATGGTAGTTTGCAGATCTGTTTCTTACCCTAGCCTCTCTGCTGAGTTTCAGTTAGACGTCCCCTTTGTATTTTAAACTCTACTGGTGCAAGACAAGACTGCCTGCCTGCCACGCCGAGTCCTCCTCTGGATTGCTAACGTCCATTAACTGGCATTTCCCTTCAGCCAAAACCTGACACTGTTTCCAAACTCTGCTGCCTTCCCCTCCGCAGCTCAAGTCCTTGTTCGTGTCCCGTAAAATTTAGGAAGGCTGTCAAACCGGGGGGGAAAAATGTCTTCCAAGTTCCTTTAATATGGGGGCTGTAAGATTTCAAGGCATTTCAGGTTTTCTTCTGCAGTGA